ACGCTGTACACGCTCACACATTGATGAATGCAACAACAAAAAACATTATTGGATAATAAAAAACATTAACTCTATTTCATGTACAGCATTTTGGGAAATTTCATTTACCCATAAAGATCCTCATTTTGCAACATAATCTAGGGACTTTACTGCAGAGAAAATTACATTGCCTGTTTCTCACTCAGTCACACAACATGACGCTGTACACGCTCACACATTCACACACACACCCAGGCATGCACACACACACACTTGCTCCTCTGCTCTGCCAAAGTGTGAAATCAACTCCTCTGAGCCCTCTCGAGTTCACTGTGTATGTGTGTGTAAATTACACCTGTATGACCTAAATACTTATAATTACAGTACTTGAGTAATTTCCTATGGTGTCTGTGGTGTTTGTATCTGACTGGAACTAATGGTGGTGTCTGTACTAACACATTTTACCTTCAAGAAAAGTATCAACACTATTTTTAAAATGGGAGGTTCTTCTCGAGTCCAGCTCCTGTGCCAAGATAGATGTGCGTAGAATACTACTTTTGGTAACACTTTTAAATAACAAAAGTTTCTCAATACTTTGTTATATACCCTTTGTTGGCAATGACACAGGTCAAACGTTTTCTGTAAGTCTTCACAAGGTTTTCACACACTGTTGTTGGTATTTTGGCCCATTCCTCCATTCAGATCTCCTCTAGAGCAGTGATGTTTTGGGGCTGTCTCTGGGCAACACGGACTTTCAACTCCCTCCAAAGATTTTCTATGGGGTTGAGATCTGGAGACTGGCTAGGCCACTCCAGGACCTTGAAATGCTTCTTACGAAGCCACTCCTTCGTTGCCCGGGCGGTGTGTTTGGGATCATTGTCATGCTGAAAAACCCAGCCACGTTTCGTCTTCAATGCCCTTCCTGATGGAAGGAGGTTTTCACTCAAAATCTCACGATACATGGCCCCATTCATTCTTTCCTTTACACAGATCAGTCGTCCTGGTCCCTTTGCAGAAAAACAGCCCAAAAGCATGATGTTTCCACCCCCATGCTTCACAGTAGGTATGGTGTTCTTTGGATGCAACTCAGCATTCTTTGTCCTCCAAACACGACGAGTTGAGTTTTTACCAAAAAGTTCTATTTTGGTTTCATCTGACCATATGACATTCTCCCAATCCTCTTCTGGATCATCCAAATGCACTCTAGCAAACTTCAGACGGGCCTGGACATGTACTGGCTTAAGCAGGGGGACACGTCTGGCACTGCAGGATTTGAGTCCCTGGCGGCGTAGTGTGTTACTGATGGTAGGCTTTGTTACTTTGGTCCCAGCTCTCTGCAGGTCATTCACTAGGTCCCCCCGTGTGGTTCTGGGATTTTGCGTGGAGCCCCAGATCGAGGGAGATTATCAGTGGTTTTGTATGTCTTCCATTTCCTAATAATTGCTCCCACAGTTGATTTCTTCAAACCAAGCTGCTTACCTATTGCAGATTCACTCTTCCCAGCCTGGTGCAGGTCTACAATTTTGTTTCTGGTGTCCTTTGACAGCTCTTTGGTCTTGGCCATAGTGGAGTTTGGAGTGTGACTGTTTGAGGTTGTGGACAGGTGTCTTTTATACTGATAACAAGTTCAAACAGGTGCCATTAATACAGGTAACGAGTGGAGGACAGAGGAGCCTCTTAAAGAAGAAGTTACAGGTATGTGAGAGCCAGAAATCTTGCTTGTTTGTAGGTGACCAAATACTTATTTTCCACCATAATTTGCAAATCAATTCATTAAAAATCCTACAATGTGATTTTCTGGATTTTTTTCTCTCAATTTGTCTGTCATAGTTGACGTGTACCTATGATGAAAATTACAGGCCTCTCTCATCTTTTTAAGTGGGAGATCATGCACAATTGGTGGCTGACTAAATCCTTTTTTCCCCCACTGTATACTCCTAGTAATGACAGGCAAATATAACTCTCAAGTTGTTCCAGTTGCCATAAGCTTTTATAACATTTTGGTCACGTTTTGAAATGTGTTATGGATGCTCTTAAGACACTGTTGTGGAGTTGTCATGAACAACACTTCAAGTGTTACCCTACTTTCATTAGACTCAGTTGAGACATGAAACTAACACTACAGACCATCAATATAAAACCATACAGTCAAGACAAGACTTCACATAGTTGTGCACAAAAATCAGCACAAAATAGCAGAACTGGTCAGGAGTCTGTAAAACGGCAGTTATCCATTGCAGCTCCATTCTTTCATGCCCCTTGTGTGTGTGCGTGTGTGTGTTGTGCATGTTTGATATTAATTGATGTTGTTTTCTCCAAAGTGAAGGTTAATTAACAGTATAGCAGCTAATTTCTCCTGTTCTGTTTTCTAACTCTCTGGGCTCTTGGATGGTGGGTATGTGTAAGTATGTGCCTGCTTGGGTGTGTGTATGTGTTGTCTCTGTCAGTCCTCTTTGTGTCTGTTTCAGATAACAGGATTTTCTCAGATTCATGTCTAAAAATGTCCACTGTTGATTAGAAATGCTAGAATATAATAATTTCAATTAAATGTCAATATGCTTTTTGGATGAATGCAACAACAAAAAAACATTATTGGATAATAAAAAACATTAACTCTATTTCATGTACAGCATTTTGGGAAATTTCATTTACCCATAAAGATCCTCCTTTTGCAACATAATCTAGGGACTTTACTGCAGAGAAAATTACATTGCCTGTTTCTCACGCTGTCACACAACATGACGCTGTACACGCTCACACATTCACACACACACCCAGGCACGCACACACACACACTTGCTCCTCTGAGCCCTCTCGAGTTCACTGTGTATGTGTGTGTAAATTACACTTGTATGACCTAAACACTTATAATTACAGTACTTGAGTCATTTCCTATGGTGTCTGTGGTGTTTGTATCTGACTGGAACTGATGGTGGTGTCTGTACTAACACATTTTACCTTCAAGAAAAGTATCAACACTATTTTTAAAATGGGAGGTTCTTCTCGAGTCCAGCTCCTGTGCCAAGATAGATGTGCATAGAATACTACTTTTGGTAACACTTTTAAAGTGTTGTTCATGACACATCCATAACAGTGTTGTCGATATCTTACTACACTAATGTAAAGAAATATATACTCTAGGTCATGACAGGCAAATATAACTCTCAAGTTGTTCCAGTTGACATAAGCTTTTATAACATTTTGCTCACATTTGAAATGTGTTATGGATGCTCTTAAGACACTGTTGTGGAGTTGTCATGAACAACACTTCAACTAACACTACAGACCATCAATATAAAACCATACAGTCAAGACAAGACTTCACATAGTTGTGTTTATAATGGGCTTTTTATTTAAAAGCTCATGTAGTAGAGATAAGTACATTAAGCAGAAACAAAAACTTTGCTAATATTTATTTTGTACAAAATGAGACAATACAAAAATACTAATAGTGAATTTTAATACAATTGTAGGTTTGTTTTCAATGCGTATTAAAAACGTACTATCACAAATCTACAATATTTTAGTTAACTAAATAAAAAAATCTGTCAATCAATGCTTTTTAAGCAGCACTTGGTAGAGAACACAGGTTGTGGTTTCATAGTGGACAATAGTTAAACATTAGAAATAATATCTTACACAGTTAATTTTAGTGAACTATACATTATTTATATATTTATAAAATTAAAAGGAAATGGTTTGCCGAAATAATAGGACGGACTAAACGTGATTAGAAAGCTGTGCAACGTTTTCAAGTGGTGATGTTGAGAAGATGTCTTAGGCTCTGTCCAAAATGGCACCCTATTCGCTATCTAGCGCACTTATTTGAGCAAGAAGAGCATTCTGTAGGGAATAGCGTTCCATTTGAGATTTGCCCTGAGTAAGCTGAGCTGTAAAATAAAATGGCTGATGGGGAGTGGTTAGTTAATGACATCACTGGACTAGCACTGAACATGTTAAAGATGCATCGTAGCAGAATATAAAAATATGAAATCCACAGTTTTCTAACGTTCTCTAGACAGGGTCTCAGTCCTCCACCTCTGGCCCTCTCTGACACACACACATAAACACATACACATAATCACACACACACTCACACGCCCACACACATATAGTGGCACACATTCTTGGCACAGACAATGGTTTGTGTGAGTAAGGTTCATTCTACACACACTACCAGGAGGGTTCATCAAAGACACACACAGACACAAAGACAATCACACAAATACACAAGACACGCAAACCTATACACATCACACACACACAAAAGCACACACATAGGCACGCACCAACACAGTGACATACAGGACACATACATACATACTGCTAGCGAGTGATTGGGTGGGCCAGAGCCCCTCTCTGCCAGCGGAAAGAGCCCCTATCCCATAATGTGCCAGTTTAGCTGTCAATCAACCCTGTGTCCATTGTGACAGACCACACCCCCACATACGCAGCCATTGAGACGGAAGCATGGCACAGCCACGCCCCCACACCAGGTGACAGGTGGCTGAGAGATATTTACCTCCCCCTCCTTCTCTTCCTCCCCCGACTCCCCCAAACTAATACCAATCAATATCCCTACTCCTTTAACCTCCCTCTTTCAAGAACCCCTGCTTCATCCTACCCCCCTCTTTCAGAAAGCATCATCCCAGGTTAGACTACCCAGAGGGGCAGCTAGTTGAGCTGAGAACTAGACTAGTCCAAACTTTTTCCTTGTGGTAGGAGCTAGAGTAGTATGTGTCCCCCTTTGAGTCTGGTTCCTCTCCAGGTCTCTTCCTTCTCTAGTAGTAGTCAGTAGCTGGCATTGGACAAGTTAACTAGTTACAGGTTAACTTTAACCCTCTATGTCATGTGTCAAACTCATTCCACGGAGGGCTGAGTGTCTGCAGGTTTTCGCTCCTCCCTTGTACTTGATTGATTAATTAAGGTCACTAATTATTAAGTAACTCCCCTCACCTGGTTGTCTAAGTCTTAATCGAAAGGAAAGACCAAAACCCAGCAGACACTAGGCCCTCCATGGAATGAGTTTGACACCCCTGCTCTACGTGATCATCAACAAGCATTCTAATAGCTGCTCCATCTGGTGGCGAGTGGTGATAATTGACAGTCAACTGGATTATAGTGCTGTAAATGATTCTGCTCTGTAATGTTACTCATATACTGTATGTGTCGTTTGCTAGTAATATTGCAGTAATATCGTTCCTATCACTAAGGAAGTTGTTATCCTATGTCAAGGCCTCAGACAGAGACAGTTTCTCTGTCTTTCCTTCATTCATTCATTCACTTATTTTTATTTTTTCCCTTTGTGTAGTTACAAAGTGTTCCGTTTCAGTGGCTCTGCACTGCTGTCTGTAACTTCTTGTCTTTTAGCTTTTGATTATTTTATTTTTGCTCTAACTTGGGCTCAAATCAGAATAGTAGTAATAACAATAGTAGTTAAAGAGTCTGGATAGTGAGAGTGGTCTCTGCAGGGCAGGTCTCAAATAACAGGCTATTTCCTAAGTAGTGCACTACTTTGGACCACAGGGTGTGATAAGTAGCGCACTAAATAAGGAACAGAGTGTGATATGAGACATGGCGACAGTCTCTCTGGTCGCTACATTCTACTGTCCAATGGGAGGCGAACAGCGCTGTGATAGGCTCCTCGGTCACGGGAAGGGGCGGGGCCTGTCTCACACCATGTTGTGGTGGTTGTTCCGCTCGATGATGTCAGCAGGGGGGAGGAGCTCCTTCTTGATGGGGGAGGGAGGGGGCGAGGCAGGCTTCACCCTCGGTTTGAACAGGTCAGATACATAGAACACCTAGAGAGCGATAGAGGGAGAGCGAGAGAGAGAGTTAAAGTACCTACACATAATAAGTAGCTAGAGAGGAATTTGACCACAGCCCTACATCATCATCATCATCATCATCATTATTAGGACTTGAACACAGTGAGCCAGGCGTAAGATGTCTCTCCCTTCCTCACCCCTTTCCTCAGCCCTCTCTCCACCCTCTTCCTCACCCTCCCCCCCGGGTAGTGAGCTCACTATGCCCTAGCGTGGGAGGCAGAGGGAGGAAGAGAAACGGAATGCCAGCCTCTTCCTGAGGTCACTGCTCTATCCTTCTCTTTCACCCATCTCCTCCCTCCTCACCCCTGTCCTCCCCCCTCTCTCCACCTTCCGCCTCCCCCTGAGTTTCCCGAGAGGGAGGAAGAGATATGGAGGTCCTGATGACATCATCGGCCAAACAGGAAACCGGGCAGACTGGGCAGGAAGTGGGCCTATGGAAAAGGCTGTTAGCAACGGGATATAACAGCCCTTAGCAATGGGATATTATGACTTAAGCCCTGAAGTCGCCCTCTCTCCTTCACTACTCCTTCCTTCTCTTTCTCTCCTCCTTTCTTCTCTTCCTCTTTTCACCTTCCTCCTCTCATCCTTCCTTCTCTCCTTCTCCCACACATCCAAACAGGCTCAGCTGATGGGGACAGATATAGAGATGAGGGGTCATATTCCAGACTGCTGTCAGAGCATGACCTTTAACAACCTTTACTAATGACCTTTGACGGAGTCAGGACATCATCATAGAGAGACCCATAATAGACCCTCTCAGCTCAACAACACACAAAGATACTTCACTAGAAAAACAGGCCCTGTGTGTGTGTGTGTGTGTTTGTATGTCTGTGTGTGCATGCATGCGTGTGTGTGCATTCATACTTACAAATGTGAATTCATGTATGTGGTGTGTGTGTAGCAGTATTTTGAGCAGAGTGGTGAATGGTATCATATATCTGGCCACGACATTTAAAGATGTGGGCAGCATTTCAAACCCCTTCCTCAGACGGGACGCATTCCAAACCGCTGTCCTCACAAGGACCTAGTCATCCAATCAGAGCAGGCCTTGTCCCCCTGGTGACCACCTCTGACCTCTAACCCCTGGATGGTCCAGGCCTTATCACAGCAAAGAGGCTTCCTGTGCACACACACACACACACACCACCTCCCAGACTATTGTGTGAGAAATGCAGACTCAGCAGCAGACACCAGGGGAGAGGGGGACTGTGCACTCCTTAATGTGGTCCTACTGGAAACATGCCAGCGGAACATTTAAAGGGGGAACACTGTCTCAGGGAGTCAGGGAGAAGTGTGGTGTGTGTACAGTGTGATAGATAGAGGATACAGTCATCCCCACTGATGGAGGAGTGTTTCATCCCTCTCTTCATCAGATCCCTCCATCACTGCGTACATCCTGGGATGGCTCTGCAGATTACAGTCATAATACTATTGCTAATGCCAGTCTGCCAGTCATGTTTAGAGTCCTCTGTCACACCATGTGAATCATGAAGACGCTGAGTCAAACAGACATCGTGGCACAGCAGGAAGGAAGTGAGTGTGTCTGAAAGAAACAAGCACGGCTCACTGTGTTTTAGAGAATATCGTGCCACGACACAACCTGTGGATTTCATCAGAACCTACCACAGCCCAAAGCGTGTCTAAAGCAAACCTCTTGCTCCTATAGCTATGTGCATGTGTGTTTCTAAAGCTAACCCCTCGCTCAGAGACCGTGTGAGATAGCAGTATGGGGAATTGTAAGAATACATATGGAGGCCTTCAGCATCACTAACAGAGAAGCTTCTATACACTGAGTATACAAAACATTAGGAGCACCTGCTCTTTCCATGACATAGACCAGGGGTATTCAACTCTTACCCTACGAGGTCCGGAGCCTGCTGGTTTTCTGTTCTACCTGATGATTAACCCATAAGAGTCTAAGCCCTGTCTAAGCCGGGGGAGGGGGTTCTGCTAAGCTATATGGAATTGTTTTAAGAAGGTCAGACCAAGGATCATTTAGCTCAGAGGGGTCATAATAGTTTGTAGGCCAAACCGTTCGGACGCTACAGAATATTTTGTGAGAAAACCCGATTTTCGGGATGTCTCATGGTGTGACAAACACCGCTCTAGCTCTGTCACCTTTCACCACAGATGTGGAAGTGCGGTGGATTGAGACGCATCAAATGCCAAAAAAACACATATCTCTAGCTTAAACTGACGGATTTTGATGGGGATTGTTTTAATATGCTAATTCGATTTTTGTAGAATAAACTTAGAATTGTTCTATTTAAATTATTATACAAAATTCTTGCTACCAATATAATGTTATTTATATGGGGGATACAATCTTCCCAGCTCTGCAGATTTTGCTGCAAAGAGGGAATCGTTAGATCATTTGTTTTGGTACTGTCCATTTGTAGCTTGTTTTTGGACACAGGCCCAGGAATGGCTGAAGGATTGCAATAATTACCTGGAGCTAACCCTGCAGATAGCACTACTGGGTGATCTGAAAAGTCATAGTCAATCGATCAATAATATAATAATACTTTTAGCAAAAATGTTTATTTTAAATAGACAATCTGTAGAAACAATGAGCATAGAAGGGTTCAGAACTTTTGTGAAACATCACAGTACAGTTGAAAAATATATGGCAAATAGAAATCCAATATGGATGGTGTTAAGAGATAGATGGGAGGTGTTGAATGAAGTTGAAGGATGGGACTAATAACAACTAACAACAACTAATAACAACAAGATAACTAATGTAAAGAATACTGTGTCAATAATAAGTATATAGGTTATAGGTTGAGAGCTTTTGTGAAAGAACACAGTTAGAAAGATATGGCTTATAGAAGCAAACCGGATGGACATCATGAAAATGATCGGAGAGGTTGAGGGTAGAGGAAGTTCAGGAGTAAAAACAAACAAAATAGAATTATTGTAAAATTGACTGTGTCCATAAAATGTCTATAGTATGTATAAGCTGGAAGTAGAGGCCTTAGCATTGTTGTTCACTAGTTTACTCCAATTAGGGAAGGGGTGGTGGGGTTGAAAAGTAATAAAGGGAGATATATATTTTTAAAGGATATGTATATGTATTTATATATATATATATATATATATATATATATATATATATATATATATATATATACACTGCTCCAAAAAATAAAGGGAACACTTAAACAACACAATGTAACTCCAAGTCAATCACACTTCTGTGAAATCAAACTGTCCACTTAGGAAGCAACACTGATTGACAATAAATGTCACATTCTGTTGTGCAAATGGAATAGACGAAATGGTTCTGCAGGTGGTGACCACAGACCACTTCTCAGTTCCTATGCTTCCTGGCTGATGTTTTGGTCACTTTTGAATGCTGGCGGTGCTTTCACTCTAGTAGTAGCATGAGACGGAGTCTACAACCCACACAAGTGACTCAGGTAGTGCAGCTCATCCAGGATGGCACATCAATGCGAGCTGTGGCAAGAAGGTTTGCTGTGTCTGTCAGCGTAGTGTCCAGAGCATGGAGGCGCTACCAGGAGACAGGCCAGTACATCAGGAGACGTGGAGGAGGCCGTAGGAGGGCAACAACCCAGCAGCAGGACCGCTACCTCCGACTTTGTGCAAGGAGGAGCAGGAGGAGCACTGCCAGAGCCCTGCAAAATGACCTCCAGCAGGCCACAAATGTGCATGTGTCTGCTCAAACTGTCAGAAACAGACTCCATGAGGGTGGTATGAGGGCACGACGTCCACAGGTGGGGGTTGTGCTTACAGCCCAACACCGTGCAGGACGTTTGGCATTTGCCAGAGAACACCAAGATTGGCAAATTCGCCACTGGCGCCCTGTGCTCTTCACAGATGAAAGCAGGTTCACACTGAGCACATGTGACAGACGTGACAGAGTCTGGAGACGCCGTGGAGAATGTTCTGCTGCCTGCAACATCATCCAGCATGACCGGTTTGGCGGTGTGTCAGTCATGGTGTGGGGTGGCATTTCTTTGGGGGGCCGCTCAGCCCTCCATGTGCTCGCCAGAGGTAGCCTGACTGCCATTAGGTACCGAGATGAGATCCTCAGACCCCTTGTGAGACCATATGCTGGTGCGGTTGGCCCTGGGTTCCTCCTAATGCAAGACAATGCTAGACCTCATGTGGCTGGAGTGTGTCAGCAGTTCCTGCAAGAGGAAGGCATTGATGCTATGGACTGGCCCGCCTGTTCCCCAGACCTGAATCCAATTGAGCACTTCTGGGACATCATGTCTCGCTCCATCCACCAACGCCATGTTGCACCACAGACTATCCAGGAGTTGGCGGATGCTTTAGTCCAGGTCTGGGAGGAGATCCCTCAGGAGACCATCCGCCACCTCATCAGGAGCATGCCCAGGCGTTGTAGGGAGGTCATACAGGCACGTGGAGGCCACACACACTACTGAGCCTCATTTTGACTTGTTTTAAGGACATTACATCAAAGTTGGATCAGCCTGTAGTGTGATTTTCCACTTTAATTTTGAGGGTGACTCCAAATCCAGACCTCCATGGGTTGATAAATTTGATTTCCATGGATAATTTTTGTGTGATTTTGTTGTCAGCACATTCAACTATGTAAAGAAAAAAGTATTTAATAAGATTATTTCATTCATTCAGATCTAGGATGTGTTGTTTAAGTGTTCCCTTTATTTTTTTGAGCAGTGTATATATATTTGTGAGAGAAAAAAAACATATGGGGGATTGGAAGTGATGCACACAATTACATTGATGGAAGTTACAATTTATCTGAAATATTAAAGCTGATCTACCCCCTAAAAACAAAAAAAAACATCAATTTTGGTAGGGGCGCGGACATTGCACACACCTGGTCTCCCAGGTATAAATCAGTCCCTGATTAGAGGGGAGCAGTGAAAAAATGCAATGGAACTGGCTTAGAGTTGAGTTTGAAGGACATAGACTGACCAGGTGAATCCAGGTGAAAGCTATGATCCCATATTGATGTCACTTGTTAAATCCACTTCAGTCAGTGTAGATGAAGGGGAGGAGACAGGTTAAAGAAGGATTTTTAAACCATGAGACAATTGAGACATGGATTGTGTATGTGTGTCATTCAGAGGGTGAATGGGCAAGACAATATATTGAAGTGCCTTTGAACGGGGTATGGTAGCAGGTGACAGGCGCACAGGTTTGAGTGTGTCAAGAACTGCAGCGCTGCTGGGTGTTTCACACTCTACAGTTTTCTGTGTGTATCAAGAATGGTCCAGCACCCAAAGGAGATCCAGTCAACTTGACACAACTGTGGGAAGCATTGGAGTCAACATGGGCCAACATCCCTGTGGAACGCTTTCGACACATTGTTGAGTACATTCCCAAACGAATTGCGGCTGTTCTGAGGGCAAAAGGGGTGTGTGGTGGGTGCAACTCAACATTAGGAAGGTGTTCCTAATGTTTTGTACACTCAGTGTATAAAGAGGCCTGACATGTCTGTGTGCTTCTATAGAAGTTCTTCAGACATCAGAAAAGGCCAGTGGGTGAAAGAGTGGGTGATAGTGGTATGAACACGCAGGTACCTTCATCTCTTCACTGTAGCTTATTGAGAGGGTTAAATACCTCTAAAGTGTTTGAATCCCACTCATCTCCCTCCCTCTCCTCCCCCTCTCTTAACAGCACCTCTAAAATGATCCCAGATGTTTCTGTGTTTCTACCCTGACTGGAGAAGGCAGCAGTGTTGTTAAACTAGCTAAGCCCATAACCGCGATCTGCAGCGGTGTGTGTGTGTATGTGTGTGCAGGTATCTTGGCTGTCGCTCTGAAGAATAGCCGAGTTCTCTATGAAATACACATATACACAAAGCTAAGAAAACTTCTCCTCTCCTCCCCTTCTGTCCTTCTCTCCTCTTCCCTCTCTCCTCCCTCTGTCCTCTCATACGTACACTCTTACAAAAAAGGGTTCCTAAAGGGTTCTGCGGCTGTCCCCATAGGAGAACCCTTTCTGGTTCCAGGTAGAACACTTTTGGGATCCATGTAGAACCCTCTGTGGAAAGGGTTCTACATGGAACCCAAAAGGGTTCTACCTGGAACCAAAAGGTGTTCTTTAAAGGGTTCTCCTATGGGGACAGCCGAATAACCCTTTTTGGTTCTAGATAGCACCTTTTTTTCTAAGAGTGAACTCATTTCAGTAGATGTTGATGTTTCTCTTATTAACGTTTATATTGTTCCAGATGATTGATGACTGACAATGCTGACAGGGCAATAAGAACAGCTAACAGAGTTTTGATTGGATCAGAACCTCTCCTACAACCTCCTACAACCTCTCCTACCCAGTGGAGTTTTGGGCAGGTTCTCTAAGTTCAGCCTGGTAGAAACGTTCTAAAAAAGGGGCGCTGTCAGTACCCCTGCCCAGCCCTGGCAATATGTGTGTGTTTATAAAGGTTCCCAGAGTGGTGTGTGTGGCAGTGCCAGAGATATGTCAGTAGCTGAGCCTAGGCGCCACCATGGCTTCTCTCACTTTATGAATCTAACCATTTCCATTCCTGAACTGAATGAGGGCAAGGTAGGAGTGTGTGTGGGTGTGTGTGTGTGTGTGTGTGTGTGTATGTGTGTGTGTGTGTGTGTGTGTCATGCTGAGGTGATAAAACCAGAGCAGCCAAATAAAAAATTAATAAAAAAAAATTAACAACCTCATTTTTGTTTCAAAGACCAATCTCCCCCATCTCTCTCTCTCTCTCTCTTTTCCCCTCACCCAAATGTAATTTTCCTTGGCAACATACGGCTTAGTAAAGCTATGATGGTTACAGTTTGTTACAGTAAAGCTATGATGGTTACCTCTCCCTCTCTCTCTCACACACACACAATCTCTCTCCTGGGGAGCTGGCTCCAGGCAATGTGCTATTCATTAAAGGGAATCAGATTCTCTTCACTTCGGAGCCTGCTTTATTTCACAGAGGGGTGGAGAGGGAGGTAGAGAGAGAGCGAGAGAAAGAAAAAGAGAGAGAGGGGGGTAGAAAGACAGAGAGAGAGAGAGAGAGAGAGAGAGAGAGAGAGCGAGAGAGAGAGAGGTAGAAAGACCGAAAGAGAGAGTGAGAGGGCAAAGAGGAGAGGCGGAGTTGAGAGAGAGAAAAAGTAGGGGAGTAGGTCTGGAGAATGTCTTGGAGTCTCAATACATTCTCTCTCTCTCATGCCTGATATCTCTGATTACCTGATCTGCCCTGACTCACAACAGACTAACCCTGACCTCTGACCTCTGACCTCTAACCCTAACCCTTACAGTCACAATACAATAGATGACTAACAGTGACTCACCATGCAGTAGGCCAGCGTTTCTTAGTTCTGGTTCTGGGGACCCAAAGGTTTTGCCCTAGCACTACACACCTGATTCAAATAATCAACTAATCAAGCCTTTGGAACTGGGCTTGAGTGGAATCAGGTGTAGTGCTAGGGCAAAAACAAAAAATGTGCACCCCTTTGGGTCCACAGGACCAGGATTAAATGTGTGTGTGTTTGTGTTTGTCTTTGTGTGTACTCACTATGCAGTAGGCCACCAGGGCGCCCTGTACAAAGCCGGCCAGTACGTCTGTGGGGTGGTGCTTGTGGTCGGAGACGCGTGATAGGCCGGTATAGAATGCCATCATCAGCAGCGTGAACTGGACGAGGGGGCGGAGCAACCGGGCACCTCGCCACGTGAACCTGGACTGGAGATAGAACTGATTGAGGGATGGATAGAGGGAGAAAGAAAGGGAGAGAAAGAGAGAGTGAAATTGATTATTATTTGAATGCACGGCCACAGAAAGACATTGAGCAGTATGTGTTTGATCTTACACAGGCAGATTTATAGCAAACATACATCACATCTGAAGCAGACATGTAGATATGTATTTCATCAGGAGAAATTCCTTGGTAAAAGGGAATAAGTGTGAAATATATTGTGGTATATTACTGAGATGAGTGTCTTTAAGAAGTACGATGACAGATGACAGGGACTGTGTTCTCTCTTCTCCTCACCCTTGGACTTCCTGTGTTTCTTCCTCTCCCCTCAGACTTAGACCTATACTTCCTGCTTCATATACCCAGAGACTGGGTGGGGCAGCCTCCGCCAGCCTCTCTCACCCATCCACTCTCACCAAGTCCTAATAAGCAGACCTAACAATAGCCCTGCCTAACTCCCGCTCCTCCCCCATAAGGCCATGGATTCCCAGAGGAAGGTATGGAGGAGGCTGACTGGCTCTTCCTGGAAGACAAGCTCATCATTATTGTTGTCTTCGAGGAAGGAGAGGAAGGAACCCTCCCATCCCTCGCACTCTCTCTCCTCTCAGGGATGTTTAGAGTTCTGGCTTCCACAGGCAGTGGCAGACTTACCATTAGGCAGAAGAGTCAATTGCCTCGGGCCTGACATCATCTGGGACTTCGTGAACTGGGCATAAAAAAATTAAAACTAGTAATAATATATATATATAATAATAATAATTTCTCCGCACGAGGCCCCGCTCCCATACAGACGAATAATAATTCATCATAGATCAATTATTTATTTCTATACATATCAATATTAATATAATCCACATTTTTCTAATAGCCACCTATTTAAAGGCATGAATGACTCGTATGCTGTGTAATGACATGAATGAATGATTGATTGAGATATATTGAAGTAAGTTACGTTAAGACAGATAAAACAGGACGCGCTCTCACAGCTCGATGGTGGATAGATTATATAAGGCTACTATAGCCTATACAAGAGTCAAGAGGAAAATTATACAATTGATTACATTATTGCATGCTAAATGTTTCTGATCAGTGATGAGCAAACAAGAAAAATGAGCTACCACCTCCACTTATTTGCCCAGCCAGAAATCAATTAACAATTGATTATCAGACAAGTCACTAAGTCCGCCCCTGTCCGCAGGTCCAGGGGGGAAAGGTGAAGGGAAGGAGGGAAAAGGTGGAGACCAGGCAAAAAGAAGAGAGTAAGACAGGAATGTCTGTCCTTGTCAGCCATGATGTTTACTAGGCCTACTGTAGCGGTGGCAAGGGCAGTCCTGGTCCTAGAGAACTACAGGCTGTAGTTCCAGTCCTGGTCCTAGAGCACTACAGGCTGTAGTTCCAGTCCTGGTCCTAGAGAGATACAGACTGTAGTTCCAGTCCTGGTCCTAGAGAGATACAGGCTGTAGTTCCAGTCCTGGTCCTAGAGAGATACAGGCTGTAGTTCCAGTCCTGGTCCTAGAGAGATACAGGCTGGAGTTCCATTCCTGGTCCTAGAGAGATACAGGCTGTAGTTCCAGTCCTGGTCCTAGAGAGATACAGGCTGGAGTTCCATTCCTGGTCCTAGAGAGATACAGGCTGGAGTTCCATTCCTGGTCCTAGAGAGATACAGGCTGTAGTTCCATTCCTGGTCCTAGAGAGATACAGGCTGGAGTTCCAGTCCTGGTCCTAGAGAGATACAGGCTGGAGTTCCATTCCTGGTCCTAGAGAGATACAGGCTGGAGTTCCAGTCCTGGTCCTAGAGAGATACAGGCTGGAGTTCCATTCCTGGTCCTAGAGAGATACAGGCTTCCGTGTGAGTAAGATAAATGTTTTTATTTATTTATTTCTCAGGACACAAACACAAAACAAATTCTCTAAACTCCCAAGTTTAGTGGTTTCTTAGAGAATTGTACTCAAGAAGAGAGACGCTTTCTCTCTAACTCCCATAATCACTCTGGGACAGATATAAAACATACAACCGAGAAAGAGATAGAGAGAGAAAGAGATTTCCTGCCATCATTCTGCACCACCACAGAATGCCTGTAATATTGTTTACTAGCCCTCTATTTGAAAAACAGAATCCTCGGAGTGTGTGCTGATGCGAGTGTCGCTGTGTGTGTGAGTACTGTACAAACTGACTTGTTGGTCAGTTTATATTTCCTAGGAGAGTTGGCTATTCTCTCCTCGCTCTCTTCCCTCTCTGTTTGTGGTTTAAATATCAAGCCTGCAGTCTGAAAGCACCACCTCTCTCCTTCTCTCCCTCTTTTACACTCCATTCTAACCGAGAGGCTGTCAGAGAGAGGCAGGGATATATCCAGAGCTCACCACAAAATACCACACAATACTCCAGGAAGCATGGGCCAACCATGCACACCCAAAAGCCTGTACAACCCAGCTCAGCCAAGCTAAGCCTATCCCAGCCCAGTCCAAAACACTGACTGAGTCACACTGGGTCAGTAGTGAGCATAGTTGTGGAAATATCTGCATTCTTAATAGAGTGGAAGAGGGAACGAGAGATGGCGGGGGTAAAGAGGGGAGGGAGAGACAAAGAGATGGGGGGGAGGGGGGGTGGGTGGATGTAATACTAATTAGTGTGTTGGAAGCATGGAGGCCCCCTGGGGCACGAAGACTGATCAATAAACCACAACAGGTGGAGAGAGGAAGGGAGAGAGAGAGAAGGAGAGAGGAAGGGATACATAGAGAGAAGGAGAGAGGAAGGGAGAGAGGAGAGAAGGAGATGAGGAAGGGAGAGAGCGAGAGAAGGAGAGAGGAAGGGAGAGAGAGAGAGAAGGAGGAGAGGGCTAGGAGGAGGAAAAAGAGAGAGAAGGATAAGGAAGTGTGTATGAGCGGACGAGGCGTAGCAGAGGAGAGACGGAGAAGGAGAGAGATGGAGACGAGACAGCTAGGCTGAAGGAGATAGTCTAGCAGGCAGAGTAGAGGTAGGGTTCACATCCGTCATAGAAGGAGAAGAGGGAGAGAGAGAGAGAGAAGGAGAGAGGAAGTGTGTTCAGCTGTTAAGCGGAAAACAGGTGGAGTACATCCATCCATCCATCCATCATCCATCCATCCATGGAAAGGAAAAGAGAATATGACTTCAGAGTGTCTGACTAAACTATGAGCAGGAAGGAGGGAGAGAGGGAGAGAGAGAGAGACAGAGAGACAGAGCGCAATGAGGGGTTAGAGGGAGGGGGGATAGAGGGACTGAGGGGGTGGACAGAGGGGTAGAGGGAGAACAAAGGTATTTTTTACTGGGCAGATTAATCCTGCAGCTCAATAAACTTACTTCCCATAATGCCCTCTGTCATCTGCACTCCATTGTTTGTGTGTGTGTGTGTGTGTGTGTGTGTGTGTGTGTGTGTGTGTGTTACTCACAGCCAGGTAGAGCATAGTAAACATAGAGAAGGAGGCATGTCCAGAGAAGAAGGATTTCCTGAAAAACAAACATACATGTGTACCACCATGAGGGCAGATGCCAACAGAGCACAGTCTGGGGTATCACATAGTAGAGGGGGCTAGGACTCAGTGTCTGGTGTGTGTCGTGTGTGTGTTTCTACTGACCTGGCCTCCTGTACTTTGCTCTCAGGGCCATTACAGGTGTAGGAGGTGATGTACCCGAGGGAACAATTGATGGCTGACCAGTCAGGATTACACACGTCCAGGAAATGAGGTCTCATCCTGCCCACTGACACCTTGGCAATGTCTGTGAAGGACTGGCTGATGGCACAGCCAAATATAAACACTCCAACCTGGAGGATGCAAACAACCATTAGTACCATCATGTATAACTATTAGCATGAAAACAATACAAATGTTGAAATGTATCATTTATGGTCCGTTTCTACCCTCCCACACCTCTACTGGTACTCACCTGTTTGTAGAGAGATGAGACATAAGGGTTTCCAATGAAAGACTTAGATCCCTCCATTCGTTGGTGAATCCTGTAACACTCTCCCATAACAATCTATATAGAGGAGAGGGGACAGGAGGAGAGAGGAGGGAAGAGGAGAGGAGATGAGAGGAGGATTTGGAATGAAAAGGTGAAAGGAATTGAACATTACAAACAAACTCTTGATGAGGCTCCGAGGAGTGATATTGTCAACTCCCATGCAGTTAGGTCAAACACACACATGCACACAGTGACAATGTATAGTTAATCATTCTCATGTTGAGTAAGTGAAGACATGGATAAAACAGGGAGGATGGAGACAAGGTGGAGAGACAGAGACAGTGAGGATGATGAATAGATAATAGAGAGATGGAGAGATGGACAGAGTGAGCATGGCCTGCCGTTCCCTCAGGCACCACTGTTATGATAACTAATGACGAGGCTTTAATAACAGAGGAGCTGATGGAGGGATGGAGGAGGGGATGAGATGGACAGATGACACCTCTAACAGAGATAGATAGAGATAACAGAGCTTATATCTATGGCTCTGGCCTTAGCTCAGTGGGTTAACTCGGTCTCATACAGTCCTGCAGTGATGTTGTAACACTAGAGCTGCTGTTCTAGCAGGGGTGGGGTACAGATTACCCCCCCCCCCCAAGAGACACAGGGGCATGCCATCCCCTTGCGGACCCCTTGGAACTCTGAATGCCCACACACAGCCCTCTATGTAACACCCACCCACCCACACCCACCCTCTCACTATATCTGTCCTCCACTCAGATAATATTGATTTGCCCTCCTCTGAGACAGCTAGAGATTTACTGTAACTCTCTCTCTCTCTCTCTCTCTCTCTCTCTCTCTCTCTCTCTCTCTCTCTCTCTCTCTCTCTCTCTCTCTCTCTCTCTCTCTCTCTCTCTCTCTCTCTCAAATTTGACCAACTGGGGACATTTTGTTAAGGTTAGAATTAGTGTTACAATTACGTTTAGGGTTAGGGAAAATAGGATTTTGAATGGGACTGAATTGTGTGTTCCCACAAGGTTAGCTGTACAAGACTGTGTGTGTGTGTGTGTGTGTGTGTGTGTGTGTCTGCCTGTGTGTGTGTCCGAGTGGGACTGGTGTCAGATTCAGAGGAGACACCACTAATGATATACAGATGTGTGAAATCTGCCAGCTTACACCATGAGCTGTGAGAACGCACACACACACACACACTCCTGGTTTGAATAAGCAGAAGCGCTGAGCTGGTAGCTAGATTGTACCACCATGAGGGCAGACGCCAACAGTGTACAGTCTGGGGTCTCATATAGTAGAGGAGGCTAGGACAGTGCGGGGTGTGTCTGGTGTGTGTGTTCGGTGTGTGTGGGCACTGGGGGCACCAAACCTAGAGGGCAGGCAACAATGGGCATGGGAATGTAATGTATCACATCAACAGCTCAAACCAGGAGTGTGTGGTTCACACACACAAGCGCAAACACACACACACACACACACACACCCTCCCTTGCTCATCAGAAGAATGGAAACAGTCTGGAGCCAATGCTGGTATGGCGATGGAAAATTACTTCACACAGAGCAGACAACACATGAAACAACACAAACAGACAGACAGACAGACACACAGACAGACAGACAGACAGACAGACAGACAGACAGACACACAGACAGACAGACACACACACAGACAGACAGACAGACAGGAAGGGATGAGTATGGAGTATGAAGTGAGGGAAAAGGAGAGATAGTAAGAGAGGTAGACTTACAGAGAGGATGGCAATAAGAATGCCAGCAGCACAGAGCACAGCATCGCTGATAGTGTCTCCATTTTTATATGGGTACCGGATGGACTCGTCAGAACAGTAAAAACCTCTCTGGTACGGCCGTATGGTGCTAGACTCTATTATCAGGAAGGGCAGGCCAGCTGCACAGAGAGAGAGAGAGAGAGGGGGGGGGGGGAGATAGGGGGGGAGAGAGAGAGGGAGAGAGAGAGAGAGAGAGAGAGAGAGGAGAGAGAGAGAGAGAGAGAGAGAGGAGAGAGAGAGAGAGAGAGGGGGGGAGATAGAGAGGGAGGGAGGGAGAGAGACATAAGGTTAGTGACATGGACACAAACGGGAGGTCGAGGGAAGGGGCAGGGCGGTTTGCACCAGGGGAACATGGGATAGCAAAGGAGGAGAGAGAAACAGAGGTTGGTCCAACATGGTCTTCTGAGTGTAGAAGAGTGACAGTTGGTGGAGCTCAAATCAGCCAGAGATAGTCATTGAATCACCACCCAGTTAACTCCAAACCTAAACCAATGTTTAAATCTTTAATCTAATATGGTCACTCTGTCTGACCCAGTTGACCATGCAGACCTCTAGACCTCCAGGCGTACCCTCTCTCTCCTCCCAGCCTTCCCCAGGCAGTGCTCCGTGGTGGGGCAGACTTACGGCCACACTGGGCACAATGAGCCCCACAGCAGTGAGAACGGACGAGGGGATGGTGGAGCTCTTGTAGGAGTAACGCAGACTGACGTCGCTGCAGTAAAATCCACGCTGGTATGGACGCACTGAGGACCGGTGGAGAACCAGGCCTGGCAGCATGACTGCACACACACACACACACACACACAGGTCAACACACACCTGGGGCAACTCTCAGACCCATACACCTGAGCACGCAACACACAGTCAACTTACCGTGACCTGTGGAGAGAAGACTACTCTACCTGGTACACAGTGTGTGCTGATTAGTGGTTATCAGGACATTCATTAAACCATTTGTTTACATCCTCAACAACCTCCTGTTGATATTTTACTGTACTGCTTTTCTATATAGTGTTTGGGTTGACCTAAACCCATTAAATGGATGAGTGGAGAGGAGTACTACTAGAGTGGTCTTCTGTAGCTCAGCTGGTAGAGCACGGCGCTTGTAACGCCAAGGTAGTGGGTTCGATCCCCGGGACCAACCATACACAAAAAAAATTATGCACGCATGACTGTAAGTCGCTTTGGATAAAAGCGTCTGCTAAATGGCATATTATTATTACAGTTAGCTCGTTTAGAAAACGTAGAGTTGTACAGTCTGTCAGTCTACTCTGTCCGTTATAGTGTCTCTTTCCCTCCTTCTCCCTCGTTCTTTCTCTCCCTCCACTCTTTGTCTCTATAGTCAGCTGAATGGTCCAGGGCAGTAGACAGAGAGGTAATCTGCAAAAACTGAGAGTGGGCGTCGCTCTTAGCCTTAACGACTCACTAAATTATTCTGCTGCTCTGTCGTTCGCTACATACTTTAGTCTTAGACTGCATCATTGAAGTCGTTTGTTGTGACGAGTGGCACGAGGGGCGTTGTACAAAATAAAGTCATCAGCGATTACATCGTCTCTAACCAATCAGAGTATCAAAGCAAATGATGGATTTTCAAACTGCCGCTTTACCCACGTGTGTTCTGGCTCTGGCCCAACCCATCGGTTCTTGGACCAATCAGACGGCCCCAAATGTGTTCGCATTCGGCGAAGGGTCGGGGAGGTACTCAGATCGCAGGTTGATGTTTATTGTCATGAATCTTGCCCTGAAGGCAGAACTGAGCGATTTCCGCTATATGGGCTCAGCTGCAAATAAAAAATTGGCTATATAGTAAAACATTTGCATTTTGGTCCTAATTTAAGGTTAGGGTTAGGCATTACGGTTAGCAGTGTGGTTAACGGAAAACTCCACCCAGGAACTATCTTTTGGTATTTGTTTCATTAGTCCATTGTTGATATAGTCCCACAATGTTCTACATTAAAGATATATATAACTTTCATATATATATATAACTTTCAAAATACAGAAATACTGCTGGTATGATGCAGCACCTTATGACGCAAAACGCAACATCATATGATGCAAAATGCATCATACTGGCTGTATTTCTGTATTTTGAATGTTATATATCTTGAAAACCTGATGAAATAAATACCAAAATACAGTTTTGGGGGGGAATTTTCCTTTAAGATTATGGTTAAGGTTAGGTTTAAAATCAGATGTTATGACTGTTATATGTTATAGGTCCCCTGTAGCTCAGTTGGTAGAGCATGGCGCTTGCAACGCCAGGGTTGTGGGTTCGTTTCCCACGGGGGGCCAGTATGAAAAATGTATGCACTCACTAACTGTAAGTCGCTCTGGATAAGAGCGTCTGCTAAATTACTAAAATGTAAAAATGACTTTGTGGCTGTGCCAGCTAGTGACCACTCTACAGAGCTGCCTACAGGGCAAGATTCATGACAATAGATGCCAACCTGCACTCAGATCCAGACTCATCGAGGAGAAGAAACTAATGGGCATGGCATTGCGTTTGGCCAAAGCAAGGAGTCTGGGTAGCCAGGCAAGGTCTCTGTCACACATGTAGATAGTTATCTTAATGCTCTGTTGAGCTTACTTTCGATACACACACCCTGTGAGACTTCCAGAGATCCATATGGTAAACAGCCAAGCCCATTCTGAGGACTCTCTCCCTCTTTCACTCGCTCTCTTTCTCTCTCCCGTCATACTTGCCTGGTCCTCGTGGGAGGGGGGATTCACATGCTAATGAGGAGGAGTGAAAGGAGGTCATGGGCTTAACAAACGTGGGAAACACACACACACTGACCTCTACTAACCCACCTAAACCACTCAAAGAGCTGGGAAGCTCAAGAGGGGGACACAAAAAAAAACAGAAGAGGAGAGAGGGAGAGAGAGGGGGGCAGCAGTGGGATAAAGAGGAGAAGCTGTTGTCGGACACTCTCCTCTCTGCCTTGAATGCCTGTTTATAAAAGGCTCTCTGTCCGTGCTGTGTCCCCTCTCTCTCTCTCTCTCTCCCTTCACCCTCTCTCTGCCCAGTAGATGCCCAACAAGATCTTACTGTTTTATCAATTTAACTTCATATTTTAACGTTTATCCACGTTTCTCCAAATGTCAAACTTCAAATTGGGTTGCTCCTCTTGCTCTGCATTGTTCTGAATGGTCAAGTTAAGAGTTCATGTTTTTGGATAGGGTTAAACATTAAGTTTAGGCATTCACTCCGACTGGTTAACTTAAGGGTTAAGGTTAGGGATAGGCTTAAAATTAAAAATGAGTGTCTACCACTGGGATTGAACACACGACCTTCGGCTATGGAGTCATGGGATTAAGCCCATCTGCCACCCCCGTCCACGACGCCCTAGCAAAACCCAAACCTATTTGATGGTAATAACGCTCACTGTTGCCCCTAGTGGCCGGTTTTGAAGGCATTTCCCGATGTCCTCAGGACATGGACAGACGGCCAATTTCGAAGTCAATCTTGAGCGATCTGGCTGAGATGCCAGTCCTGTATTATCCTGCCCACCATGCCATCTCTATGACAGCAGCCTGGTATGTAGGCATTCTCTTTACACCATCCCCCCCAAAGTGAGTGAGAGCGAGGGAGAGGTGGTGGGCAGGGCTGTTGGCGAGAGCCCAGCTGGACTTGAGTGAATTAAATAGAGAGTCAGTTAAAAGGTCTTTCATGGGGTCACATCCAGAGACGGCCGGGAATAGGAGAGATATAGGAGAAGGATGGAGAGAGAGACAGAGGAGAGAATGGAGGGAGGAGGGAAGAGGGACGTGGGTGGTTTTACGAGCAGTATGGTGGTGGTGCTCAGTGGAAAGTTTCTATTAGTCTTATCAGATTCTGTTACGCACTTCTCTCCTCTAGACTGAGAGAGAACCCACAGAACACATTCGAGAGAGAGCGGGAGAGAGAGAAAGAGAGCGAGTGCACAGTAAGAGAACGGGAGAGGGAGAGGGGAAGAAAGCTGTTTACACACAATTATGTTTCCAATATCCAACTTTTAATCTACTTACAACAATATGGGCAATTGCCAACCGCAGGTCTATAGGTGTGTGGGTGTCTGTGTGCGTGTGTGTGTGCGTGTGTGCGTGTGCGAGCGTGTGTGTGTGTGTGAGCGTGTATGAGCGAGATTACAGCCTGCGCCTGTTTGATTGGCTTTGTGGTTAATTTTGGTGCTGCCAGTTAGAGGACTCTCTGAAACTCTAGTGGCACTATACAGGGCTTTAGACCCAGGCAGGCAGAATTAGAACTACACCCTGATCACTAGGGGAGGGAGGGGAGGGAGGGAGAGAAAGAAGGAGAAAGGGAAGGGGGTGGATGGGGGTGAATGAGGGTGAATGACGGGAGGAGTAGAGGAAAGGAAGAAGCATTGTGATCTGCTCTAAACAGAGGATTTCCTCTTCTGTCTCTCTGTCTCAGTCATACCTAACCCTGACTGCGGAGACAGGGGTCAAGGATAGAGGGGGAGGGGAAGAGGCTAAAGGGTTTGACCCTGTTCGCCCTACTAGTCTATTAAAGCTATAATCCTCCTCCTCTTCTTCTTCTTCTCCTCCTTTTCTGTCTCAACTCTGCATGAAGATGGATCAGCTCAGCATTAGTATACATGCAACTACGTGTGCGTGCATGTGTGTGTGCACTTACATTAGTGATGCACGGTCATTAAATAAAGTGTGGATGAAGGGCAGGTGGGTGTCTAGTGGGTTGAATAAAGACAAAACAACAATACCTTAAAAAATTTATAACTGTATCGTTCTTGTGCAATTTATATCTATCTATAGGCTACTTTGAGGATTTTCTTTCATTATTTTAGGCTAACTGGCAGTACGTAAGCCTAAACTTTACGGCCTAACTGTACGCGTGCCAAATAGCCTACACGCCAATCGCCAAATGCTTTTGGGAACGGGCAGAAAAAGTTAACGTCAATCCACGGAGGCAAAAATAACAATGTCGGAGTTTAATTCAATAAGAGAAAAACTGCAAAATGGAGAGTTGAAAATAAAGAGAAGGGAGGGCCAGAAAAGTAATGTTTGGGAAAGAGCTGGTGAAGTGGTAAAAGAGGATGATAGCAGTATGTTATGTGTGATGATTGTGAGGCGATATACAAATTCAACAGTCACAGGATGGGGACTGCAAATAGGGAAGTTCAAGATGTCTACTGTTCAGATGGGTTAAATGGAAACTGAAATCTATATAGACTGTAGGTCTATAACCTCTCACATAGCCTTAATATTAACTCCTGCAAAATTAAGGACTTCTTGCAGTAAAATGATACACCAAATGTAGGCAACATTTTTACTCGGGAACATCTTGAAAGAATGTGAATGCTCAGTTAGATACCGTCTGTGAGGTGCTATCTTTATCAGCATCATAAGCGCTGATAGTATTTCAACCACATAAAATATGCATCCAAGGCCCACTGAAATCTTATCAGAAAATAATGGGTCGTTTTCACAGCTTTCTATTTCCTTACAACCGGTCAAACTGAATTTGCACAGAAAATCGTTCCCGTTTTTTGTTTTTTGTTATTGCATTTTCTTGCCGGTTCCTAAACGTCTTTGCTTCGCGAAAGTGAAAAGGGGATACCTAGTCAGTTGCACAACTGAATGCCTTCAACCGAAATGTGTCTTCCGCATTTAACCCAACCCCTCTGAATCAGGGGTGAAGTTGATCAAAAACAACACTACAAAAAGCTCATCCAGCTGACAGAGAAAACTTTACCGATGTAAACTAGATTGAAGCATTCCTTCTATCGATTTATGACAATCTGGTGAGCGAGGGATTATTTAGTCTTCTAGGGCAACATACAATGACAGAAGAGAAGCTACATGTATCTAATTATAGACATGTTGACTAACAAATAGCATAACAAAATGTTGGAAATTATAAGCAGAAACATACAGTGGGGGAAAAAAGTATTTAGTCAGCCACCAATTGTGCAAGTTATCCCACTTAAAAAGATGAGAGAGGCCTGTAATTTTCATCATAGGTACACGTCAACTATGACAGACAAAATGAGGAAAAAAAATCCAGAAAATCACATTGTAGGATTTTTAATGAATTTATTAAAAATTTATGGTGGAAAATAAGTATTTGGTCAAACTGTCACGGTTCAGACAGACGACCAGAGGACCACAATTGCGTCACACCAGAAAGTTTATTAAAACTTAAGGGAAAAGGGAAGTAGGGAGTGAATGAAGGCTCCAGGGGTAACAGGGATCCCGTCCAATGTGCTGGGTCTGTGCCCCCCCCAGTGGCAGCGATGCGTCCTATGAAGCCGGTGGTGGGTGGTCCAGAAGTCCTGGGGGGGGGAGACACAGACACAACAGGGCGGAATGAAACAAGGCAGCAGTACAGTTCAAGGGAAATCCAAATACGTAGTAGCAAGGCAGAAGGCTGGTCAGAGTTACCGGGATTGAAGAGTAGTCAGGAGTCGTTATGGCAGAAGCAGGTCTGGATCTCCTGGGGCAGAAGAGTATCCAAAAATCAGGCAGGTCCGGGGTCACAAAACCAGGGTGAGCCAGAAGCGCGAGCAAACAGGTTCCGGGTGTGAGCTTTGCAGACGATCTGACACCGGAGAACTGAAAGACAGGGCCTTAAATACTGGGAGAGGTAGTGGGTAATGCAGCGCAGCTGGCAGAGTAATTAGAGCAGAGCAGAGCAGGGACAGGTGGAGCTAGTTAGGCTGAGTAGAGAGAGTGGTGAGCAGAGTGGAAGAAGATTAAGGTGGTAACCCGGTGGAGTGAGAGGCTCATGACAGAACCCCCCCCCCAAGGGACGGCCCCAGAAGTCCCAAGAGCAACACCACGCCGGGCGGGAGGAGGGGAGCCGGAGGAGGGCTAGAACTCCTCCGAACGGTCCGAGTGAACGTCCTCATCCTCGGAGGAAGCCGGAGGGCCGTGGTCGGGAGATGGGACAGGTCCCGAGACAGGATCAGGCACAGGACAGGAAGCCGAGCGGGCAGGACGGTTAGGGACCCCTCTGGGGCGGCCCCTACGGATTGCAGGTTGATCAGGATGCCGTTGGTGGAAAGCGGTGATGAGAGTCCTATCCACAATCCGACTAGCTGGCACCCAGGTCCTTTCCTCAGGTCCATAGCCCTCCCAGTCAATGAGGTACTGGAGACCCCTACCCCTCCGTCTGGACCGAAGCAGGCGGCGGACGGTTGTAAACCAGACCACCATCGACGAGCCGTGGAGGAGGAGGACAAGGCGCAGCAGGGACCAGCGGACTCTCATGGATGGGCTTAATCTTAGACACATGGAAAGTGGGGTGCACCCTCAGGGAATTAGGCAGTTGGAGCCGGACAGCAGTTGGGCTAATCACTCTTATGATAGGGAATGGGCCAATGAACCGAGGTGCCAGCTTCTGCGACTCCACCCTGAGTGGCAGGTTCTTCGATGACAACCACACCCTTTGACCAACATGGTAGGTGGGAGCAGGAATTCTCCGACGGTTGGCCCCGGTAGTGTAGCTGGCAACGGATCTGAGGAGTGTGGCTCGGGCTTGTGACCAGGTTGCGGCGACATCGACGGGCAAAAGCAAGTGCAGATGGGCAAGTAACCTCCTCTTCCTGGCTGGCAAATAGAGGAGGCTGGTATCCGTAAACACATTGGAAAGGGGACATACCGATGGCAGAGCAGGTCAGAGAATTGTGTGCGTACTCCACCCATGTCAATTGCTGCGACCAGGAGTGGGGGTTGCGTGAAGTCATGCATCGCAGTGCCTTCTCGAGCTCCTGATTAGCCCGCTCTGACTGCCCATTGGATTGGGGATGGAATCCGGAAGTCAGACTGACTGTGGCTCCCAGCAGGTGACAGAAACTCCTTCCAAAAAGCGGAGGAGAATTGTGGACCACGGTCAGAAACTACATCCTTAGGCAGTCCGTGGATCCGGAAGACGTGTTCCAGGACCACCTGGGCGGTCTCCTTGGCGGTTGGGAGCTTGGGGAGGGGAATGAAGTGTGCCATCTTGCTGAAACGGTCAACAATGGTGAGAATGACGGTCATGCCACTTGAAGGGGGCAGCCCCGTGACAAAGTCAAGGGCGATGTGAGACCAGGGACGTCTGGGCACAGGCAGGGGCTGCAGCAATCCGGCTGGGGGCTGGCAGGACGACTTGTGTTGGTTGCAGATGGGGGCAGGCTTGGACGAATTCCCGTACATCCCTTCTCAGAGAGGGCCACCAGAACCTCTGGGCGAGCAGGTTGTAAGTGCGGGTGGAGCCAGGGTGACAAGCTAGGCGGGAGTCATGTCCCCACTGAACGACCTGGGACCTCAGGTCTTCGGGGACAAAAAGGCGGTCAGCTGGGCAAGTGCTGGGACCTGGCTGGTTACGGAGAGCCTCCAGCACCTGTTCCTCAACAGCCCAGGTCAGAGCTGCAACGATGCAGGGACTTGGCAGAATCGACACAGGGTCCTTGGAGGGGGTGTCATCCTTCTGGAATTGACGGGAGAGGGCGTCTGGCTTGGTGTTGCGTGATCCAGGCCGGTATGACAGAGTGAAATTAAACCTGGTGAAGAACAGGGCCCAGCGGGACTGCCTGGAGTTCAACCGTTTGGCCGTGCGGATGTACTCCAAGTTCTTATGATCGGTCCAAACGAGAAATGGAATGGTGGACCCCTCCAGCCAGTGACGCCACTCCTCCAAGGCAAGCTTCACAGCCAGCAGCTCACGGTTCCCTATGTCGTAATTGCACTCAGAGGGGGACAACCGACGTGAGAAAAAGGCACAGGGATGGAGCTTCCTATCCTCCGCAGCCCACTGAGAAATCACAGCACCAACTCCCACATCCGAGGCGTCCACCTCCACAATGAATTGCCGGTCCACATCAGGCATCTGGAGGATGGGAGCGGAGGTGAACCTCACCTTGAGGGTACTGAAGGCTTTGTCGGCTGCTGGGGTCCAGGTGAAGGGTTGCTTGGTGCTGGTTAGAGCAGTGAGAGGGGCAGCAACGGTACTGTAGTTCCGGATAAACTTTCTGTAGAAGTTAGCAAACCCCAGAAACTGTTGCAGCTTCTTTCTGTTCTCCGGAACTGGCCATGAAGTGACTGCTGATACTTTGGCAGGATCCATTTGGATACTTCCCTCTGCCACTATGTACCCCAGGAAGGCCACTGTCTTGACGTGAAACTCACATTTCTCTGCCTTGGCGTAGAGGGAATTCTCCAGAAGACGATGAAGGACTTGCTGGACATGGCGGGTGTGTTCAGACAGGTTTCTGGAGTAGATTAGGATGTCATCCAGGTAAACGAAGACAAACTTGTTTAACATGTCCCGCAGTACATCATTCACTAGAGCCTGGAACACAGCAGGAGCATTGGTGAGGCCAAAAGGCATAACCAGATACTCGTAGTGGCCTGTTGGTGTATTGAATGCGGTTTTCCATTCATCTCCCTCCCGGATCCGCACTAGGTGGTAAGCGTTTCTGAGATCCAACTTGGTAAAAACAGTGGCTCCCTGGAGCAACTCAAAAGCAGAGGTGAGCAGAGGCAGAGGGTAACGGTTTTTCACTGTGATGTCGTTGAGTCCCCTGTAGTCGATGCAGGGGCGAAGAGATCCGTCCTTCTTCCCCACAAAGAAGAAGCCAGCACCAGCAGGAGATGAAGATGAACGGATTAATCCTGCGGACAGAGAGCCATTGATGTAGTCCTCCATGGACTTTCTTTCAGGAGCAGACAATGAATAAAAGACGACCCTTTGGAGGGGCTGTTCCAGGGAGGAGGTCGATGGCACAGTCGTACGGTCGGTGAGGGGGCAGAGATGTGGCTCTTGCTTTGTTAAACACCTCTCTGAGACCATGGTAGCATTCTGGGACATTGGAGAGGTCAGGAGCGGAGTTAGTAGGTACTGGCCGAGGGGGGGTAGTGCGGCAAGCAAGCAGGCAGGTTCGGTGGCAGTCCTCTCCCCACTCCCTGATCACCCCGGTCACCCAGTCGAGCTGAGGGTTGTGCCGGCGAGCCATGGGTAAACCCAGGATGAGGGGTTGGCCTGGAGAGGGGAGCAGGTGAAACTGGATAGTTTCTTGATGGTTTCCGGACAGACCCCATCGAGACCGGGGCCGTGACATGAGTGACCGATCCGAGTAAGTGTCCGTCCAGTGCCCGGGCAGGAATAGGAGGTGTCAAACGGAGGTTCTCCAGTCCCAGTTGGCGTGCCAGCTTGATGTCCATTATGTTGGCTTCGGCGCCAGAAATCCACCAGAGCAGCCAGGGTGTGAGTTGAGTCAGAGAGGCGGAGGTGAACTTGCAGCAGGGGTTTGCGGTCGGAGGACTGGATGGTCATAGAACTCAACCGGACTCCCCCTATGCCCGGTGAGCTTCGGCCCTTTAAAAGGGCAGGTTACCACACGATGTCCATCACCTCCACAATAGAGGCAGAGGTTTGAGGTGAAGCGGCGCTGGCGCTCTGCAGGAGTGAGAGAGGCTCGCCCAATCTCCATAGGCTCAGACTGATCAAACTGACCTGGGTGAGTGGCAGTAGATGACAGGAGCCCAGTCGGATCTCTCCGAATGCCGGTAGTAGGTGGACCTTGGCGCCCCCTCTCACGACGACGGGTCTGTATCCTTCTGTCGATCCTGACAGTCAGTGCGATGGCTTCATCAAGAGTGGAAGGCAGTTCATGGGAGACCAACTCGTCCTTGATATAGTCAGCCAAACTATGGAAGAACGCGTCCACCAACGATGGTGTGTTCCAAGAACTTCGTCTAGCCAGGGTTCGGAAGTCGATGGAATGGTCTGCGACTGTACGTCTGCCTGTCGAATACTGAACAGTTCACGAGGACGCCTCTGCGGTTGGTGAATCCCAGGTCAAACACCTTCAGCATCTCCTCAGCCAAACAGGTCGAAGGTTGCACATGCGGGGGTTTGACGTTCGAACTCTGCTGTTCCCCAGAGTCGAGCTCGGGCCCGTCAGGTGAGTGATGGATACCCAACTTTAGCCCCCTCCGTGGCGAAGGTCCTTGGCTGCAAGAGAACTGAAGTCGGCAGCTACGTCAGAATGGCCGGACCTGGGTTGAGTCGCCGTTGAAACCGCTCGGGGTTTCCAATCTTGGGTTCCGGAGCAGCGGCTGCAATGACCGGGGCAGGTAACTCGGGGGCAGGGCTGGTGGGCAGACTGGCTGGGGTAAGGTTGGTGAGGAGTTGAATGATCATGGCGAGTTGTTGTTGCTGCTGCTGGAACTGCTGCTCATGCTCATCGGTCTCCATGTCGGGGAAAGTGTGCGCTGAGTCCATAATGGTCAGATCGTACTGTCACGGTTCAGACAGACGACCAGAGGACCACAATTGCGTCACACCAGAAAGTTTATTAAAACTTAAGGGAAAAGGGGGGAAGTAGGGAGTGAATGAAGGCTCCAGGGGTAACAGGGATCCCGTCCAATGTGCTGGGGTCTGTGCCCCCCCCAGTGGCAGCGATGCGTCCTATGAAGCCGGTGGTGGGGTGGTCCAGAAGTCCTGGGGGGGGGAGACACAGACACAACAGGGCGGAATGAAACAAGGCAAGCAGTACAGTTCAAGGGAAATCCAAATACGTAGTAGCAAGGCAGAAGGCTGGTCAGAGTTACCGGGATTGAAGAGTAGTCAGGAGTCGTTATGGCAGAAGCAGGTCTGGATCTCCTGGGGCAGAAGAGTATCCAAAAATCAGGCAGGTCCGGGGTCACAAAACCAGGGTGAGCCAGAAGCGCGAGCAAACAGGTTCCGGGTGTGAGCTTTGCAGACGATCTGACACCGGAGAAACTGAAAGACAGGGCCTTATAAATACTGTGAGAGGGTAGTGGGTAATGCAGCGCAGCTGGCAGAGTAATTAGAGCAGAGCAGAGCAGGGACAGGTGGAGCTAGTTAGGCTGAGTAGAGAGAGTGGTGAGCAGAGTGGAAGAAGATTAAGGTGGTAACCCGGTGGAGTGAGAGGCTCATGACACAATAACAAAAGTTTCTCAATACTTTGTTATATACCCTTTGTTGGCAATGAGACAGGTCAAACGTTTTCTGTAAGTCTTCACAAAGGTTTTTACAAAACTGTTGCTGGGGGAAATTTTTTCCTTCCCAAAGCAGATTTTCCCCCTAAAAGCAGTATGTTTTTGGGGGTGGGGCCTGGGAAAAACCGGGCTTTCAAAAACCCCCCACAGATTTTCTATGGGGTTTTAGATTGGGGGGATGGCTAGGCCCCTCCCGGACCTTGAAATGCTTCTTACGAACCACTCCTTTTTGTTGCCCGGGGCGGGTTTTTTTGGGTTTATTGTAAGCTGAAAGACCCGCCACTTTTTATTTTTCAAGGGCCCCTTTCTGATGTAAGGAGGTTTTTACTCAAAATCCCCACAAAACTGGCCCCCCTTCTTTTTTCCTTTACACGGATAAATCGTCCTGGTCCCTTTGCAGAAAAAAAGCCCCAAAGAATTTTGTTTCCCCCCCCCCTTTCTTCACAGTAAAGGGGTTTTTTTTGGGGGGGTTTTTTGGGTGCAAACCCGGGATTCTTTTTCCCAAACCCACGAGTTTAGTTTTTAAAAAAAAAGTTTATTTTTGGTTTCATCTGACCCTATACATTTTCACCAAAGGGCCCCTTTCAAAATTCAGAGGGCCCCGACATGTACTTGGGGTTAACAGGGGGCCCAAGTCTTACTGCCCGGATTTTATCCCCGGGGCGTATGTGTTACTGATGGGAGGGGTTTGGTTTCTTTTGGTCCCCCGCTCTCTGCAAAGGGCATTCCCTAGGGGCCCCCCCCTGTGGGTTTTGGGAAATTTTTTCCTCACCCTTCGGGGATCATTTTGGACCCCACGGGGGGGGGGGGAGATCTTTGCGTGGGGCCCCAGATGAGGGAGATTATTGTGGTCTTTTATTCTTTCCCTTTCCTAATAATTGCTCCCACAGTTTATTTTTTTTCAAAACCCAACTTCTTACCTATTGCAGATTCATATTCCCCGCCTGGTGCAGGTTACAATTTTTTTTTTCTGGGGTCCTTGACAGCTCTTTTGGGCTTGGGCCTTGTGGGGTTTTTGGGGGGTTTTACTGTTTTTTAGGTTGTGGACAGGGGCTTTTATACTGTAAAAATTCAAAGAGATGCCATTAAATCAGGGTAACAAGTAGAGGACAAGGGGGCCCCCCTTAAAAAGAAATTACAGGTCTGTGGAAGCCCGGAAAACTTTCTTGTTTTTTTTTGGGGCCAAAAAATTTTTTCCAACCTAATTTTTAAATTTAAAATTATAAAAAAATCAAAATTACCCTTTTTTTGGATTTTTTTTTCCCCAATTTGGCTGTCATAGTTGCGGGGTACCTATGATGAAAAATTTAAAAGGGCCCCTTCCCCCCTTTTTTAAAGCGGGAGAACTTGCACATTGGTGGGTGACAAATACTTTTTTTCCCCCACTGTAAATTTTTCTAAAAACCGCCCCCCCCCTGTCAAAAAAACATTTTCCCCCATCTTTTACTGAAGGGCCCATGCGATTTTTATAAATTGGGGTTTTGGGCGGGGCAGGGGTCAGATTTTCACTTTATCACTATAGTCTGGCGGTTGCGGATGGGTTTTTAGCAATTGTGGGCGGGTGGCGGATGAACAAAGAGCTGACCCGGAAAACCCCCGCATGCGTGGGGTCCCTGGGGTGTACTCGTGACCCAAAGGTCTTTCACCCAAGAAAAAAGCTGGCCCGAATGGGGAGAAAAAAGGGGGGAAATGGGGGAGAAGATATAGGGGGAGGTCGAAAAGGGGGGTGAAAGAGTTCAGTAAAGGCCCCACCTGACACCTTTCGAGGAACTGAACATTCCAACCCGGTCCTTTTTGATTTACATAATAAAAGGGCTGCTAATCCAACGTTCGCTAAAAATCTAGTTTGGATTAAAACAAAGGGTTTTTTTAAAAAATCCCTAAACAAACCCCTTCACACAGGTACCAAAGCTCTTTTGTGTCTGGTCCCTTAAAACCCTGTTTTTAGGGCCTACTGACCCAAAGGGGGGTTGGGGGCCTTGGGCGCTGGGGCTGCTCTGAAAAACTGTGGGTGTGTGTGTTGTGGTTTTGGGGGTATTGGGTGTGTGTGTGTGTGGTGTATCTGTGGGTTTCCGGGGCGGGTGTGTGGCAGGGGGGGGGATTTTGTGTGAAGGAAAGGGGGGGCTGGGCACCCCGGGTTTTCCCTTTTGCCCCGGCATTTTTCTGACTGACCCGTCAATGCCACGGGGGGGGGTGTGTGTGTGTGTGTGGGGTGTGTGTGTGTGTGTATGTGTGTGTGTGTGTGGGGGTGGGTGTGGGTTTTGTGTGGTTTTTGTTGGGGTGAGAGGGGAGAGACTGGACCTCTGAGCGACTAGGGGGGAAGTGGGGGATAAAGTGGGGGTTTTTTTTTGGGTGTTTAGTGCTTTTGGGTTTTACCAACGAGCATTTAAAACCCAAAAGCAAGTGACAGAGAGAGAGACAGATAGTGATTTTCTCCACTGCCCAAATTTTATTTTTTGGAGAAATGTTTGGGGGAAAAATGGGGCTGCATTGGTCCCTGTGTGTGGTGTGTGTGTTTTGTGGGTTTTGTTGTGTGTGTGTGCAAATTTTACATTAAGGTACTGTATGTGTGGGCCCTGAGGAACTCTTTAGGAGTTTGGGTATTTTCCCCTTTTCAAGGTTAAAAGGCAGGGGAAAGGGGTTTAAAGGGCAAGGGTTGGAGAGTTTAAACCCCCACACGAGTCAGTGCTAGCCGGGGAAAACGGTTTCTACCCGACTTTTAAAAACAGCATAGCGTACCCAAACTCTCCCCCTCCCTTTTTTCTCTCCCCTCCTTAAATTTCCTCTCCTTTTCCTTTTTCTCCTTCCCTCTTGGGGCCCTTTTTAATTCACCCCAACTTTATCTGTGTTTTGAGTGTGATTTGAGGGGGCTTTTTTCTGCCAAGCGCTGATTTCAAACCACACTCCTTCCCCCCAAACCAAACACACACAGAAAAGAGGACAAACTGCTTCATCAGAGAGCACTGTTTTCAGGGGGGGTTTTTTAAATGGGCCCCTTTCCCTGGAGATGCTAGGCCACTCCAGGACCTTGAAATGCTTCTTACGAAGCCACTCCTTCGTTGCCCGGGCGGTGTGTTTGGGATCATTGTCATGCTGAAAGACCCAGCCACGTTTCATCTTCAATGCCCTTGCTGATGGAAGGAGGTTTTCACTCAAAATCTCACGATACATGGCCCCATTCATTCTTTCCTTTACACGGATCAGTCGTCCTGGTCCCTTTGCAGAAAAACAGCCCCAAAGCATGATGTTTCCACCCCCATGCTTCACAGTAGGTATGGTGTTCTTTGGATGCAACTCAGCATTCTTTGTCCTCCAAACACGACGAGTTGAGTTTTTACCAAAAAGTTCTATTTTGGTTTCATCTGACCATATGACATTCTCATCCAAATGCACTCTAGCAAACTTCAGACGGGCCTAGACATGTACTGGCTTAAGCAGGGGGACACGTCTTGCACTGCAGGATTTGAGTCCCTGGCGGCGTAGTGTGTTACTGATGGTAGGCTTTGTTACTTTGGTCCCAGCTCTCTGCAGGTCATTCACTAGGTCCCCCCGTGTGGTTCTGGGATTTTTGCTCACCGTTCTTGTGATCATTTTGACCCCACGGGGTGAGATCTTGCGTGGAGCCCCAGATCGAGGGAGATTATTAGTGGTCTTGTATGTCTTCCATTTCCTAATAATTGCTCCCACAGTTGATTTCTTCAAACCAAGCTGCTTACCTATTGCAGATTCAGTATTCCCAGCCTGGTGCAGGTCTACAATTTTGTTTCTGGTGTCCTTTGACAGCTCTTTGGTCTTGGCCATAGTGGAGTTTGGAGTGTGACTGTTTGAGGTTGTGGACAGGCGTCTTTTATACTGATAACAAGTTCAAAGAGATGCCATTAATACAGATAACAAGTAGAGGACAGAGGAGCCTCTTAAAGAAGAAGTTACAGGTCTGTGAGAGCCAGAAATCTTGCTTGTTTGTAGGTGACCAAATACTTATTTTCCACCATAATTTGCAAATAAATTCATAAAAAATCCTACAATGTGATTTTCTGGATTTTTTTTCCTCAATTTGTCTGTCATAGTTGACGTGTACCTATGATGAAAATTACAGGCCTCTCTCATCTTTTTAAGCGGGAGAACTTGCACAATTGGTGGCTGACTAAATACTTTTTTCCCCCACTGTACTTTATCTAAAAAACTGCACCCCCTGTCAAAAAATCATTCCGCCATCTTTGACTGTAGCCTATAGCGCATTTTCTATATTAGCGGGTTAGGGTCGGGTGCAGGCCTCAGATTGTCACTTTATCACATATAGTCTGGCGGTTGCGGATGGGTTGTTAGCAATTGTGGGCGGGTGCGGATGAACAAAGAGCTGACCCGCGCACCACTAGCATGCGTGTGTACGTGCGTGTGTACTCGTGACAAGGCTCTTTCACAGAGAAAGCTGGACAGACTGGAGAGAAAAAGGGAGGGAAAATGGGAGGGAGAGAGATATAGGGAGAGGTCGAAAAGGAGGGGGTGAAAGAGTTCAGTAGGCTACCTGACACCTTTCTGAGGAACTGAACATTCTATCTGGTCCTTATTGATGACATAATAAAGGTCTGCTAATCCAATCGTTCGCTAAACTCTAGTTCCGGATTAAAACAAAGGGTTAAAACTCCCTAGCAACCCGATTCACACAGGTACCACAGCTCTAGTGTGTCTGGTCCATTAACCGTGTTATTAGGGCCTATCTGAGCCCAGGGGAGTTGGGGGCCTGGTCGCTGGTCTGCTCTGATAAGCTGTGTGTGTGTGTGTGTGTGTGTGTGTATGTGTGTGTGTGTGTGTGTGCGTGTATCTGTGTGTGCGCGTGCGTGTGTGTGGCAGGGGGAGGATTCTGTGTGAAGAATGGGTGGCTGGGCACCAGGTCCGCTAGCCCGGCGGCATTGTTCTGATCTGACCCGTCAATGCCAGCGGGTGTGTGTGTGTGTGTGTGTGTGTGTGTGTGTGTGTGTATGTGTGTGTGTGTGTGTGTGTGTGTGTGTGTGTGTGTGTGTGTTTGTGTGTGAGAGAGAGAGACTGGACCTCTGAGAACGACTAGGGGGGAAGTGGAGGATAATTAGTGGGGGTTTCTGTGGTGTTTAGCTGCTTAGCTGTTACCAGTATCGATGCATTAATAGCATACAGTCAAGTGACAGAGAGAGAGACAGATAGTGATACTCCACTGCCCAGTCATTTAGAGAGAATGTTGGGTTAAATATGGCCCTGCACTTGGTCACTGGTGTGTGTGTGTGTGTGTGTTTGTGTGTGTGTCTGTGTGTGTGTGCTACGTTGACATTAAGGTACTGTATGTGTGGACCCTGAGGAACTCTTTAGGAGTTTGCTATTCCACTTTGCAAGGTTAGAGGTCAGGGGTCAGGGGTTAAGGGTCAAGGGTTAGGAGAGTGACCCTCACACGAGATCAGTGCTAGCCTGAAATACTGTACTACCAATGACTTGAACAGCTTTAGCATAGCAGCTACAATCTCTCCTCTCCTCTCTTCTTCTCTCCTCTCCTTCATTCTCCTCTCCTTTCCTCTGTTCTCCTCTCCTCTCTCTGTTCTCGTTTTCAATTCTACTCCACAGCTGATCTGTGTATGAGTGTGTTTGAGAGAGCTTTGTCTGCGCAAGCTGCTGATGTCACACACACACTCAGTCACACACACACAAACACACACAGAGAGAGAGACAAGCTGCTTCATCAGCAGAGCACTGTACAGTGTGAATGGCCTCTTTTCTCCTGCAGTGAAAGGGCAGGGTTAGGGCTAGGCAGGGCAGGGGGCGCGGGGTGCTTACTCTGAGAGATTTTATTCACACCAATAAACGACCATCCTTTTACAAACAGGCACCTGATAGGACAGCCTCTGGGCCAGGGGTCTTTACAGACAGGCACCTGCAAAGGACAGCCTCTGAGGTCCTTGCTCCAGCTCCCCTTACCCCTGACCTCCAAGCCTTAATGCTAGAATCCTTAGTTGCTACATCAATTTTTGGAAATTAATTATATATACCCAATGATTCTTGAAGAATATAACTTATAAATGCCTCATTAGCTTAGATCAACTGTCCAACCCCATCAGAACCCAAGATATAAGCTTGATTTACTCCAATGTTTGTAAACAACTTAAATGTAAACAAACACTGCATAGCCTCAAAACATGGTTAAAACTATACATTTGATATAATGGATGGTCAGTCCTTGCATCCATAGCTCTGTCTATGAATTTGAGAGTGGTTACATTTCTCCAGCCCCATCTCTTAGCTTTTTAGCAAAACAGGGGCAGTGAGTACGCTTAGTTCTTTAACGCCTACCCTCTACTCCCTAGCCCTTAAGTGTTTTTAGATCTGAAGGAAGAGAGTAGCTATTACGTAACTCAACGTTCCCCTTAAGCCTTCCTCATGCTTCGGTTCGGCCGAACTCGGCGTGTGCTAGCTTACTCCCCTAAAAGACCTTCACTTGAAAAACGAGAAAAAAGCGGCAATAGTTTGTCCATCTTGATACGCCCGTAGCCAAAATAGTCTGAATTTTTAAAGATAACTCAAGAACTCTGTCATTGATTTTGATGTTTTTGCCGAGGAGATCTTTTAGTCGCGTAATTTTACATCTAACGAAGATGTTTGGTGCAGTATTTCTCAAGTGAAAAAATGTGCATGAAAACGATTTGTCTATCCTTGAATGACAACAAACACTTAATAGGCGATATGCACAGGCGACCATGACGTATTTCCGGTTAAATCTCAGGATGGATGTAAACTTCCGGTTATCGTAGAATGCTGTGCTACCGTATGCTAGCATTGAATGCTTGTCGTCAAAAACATCCGAAACGGTTAATATTTGTCGTTGTTGTTGTTTATCTTAATGTTTATGTTAATGTTTTTACTTACTCTTCCAGCCATCACTGCTGTGTGCCACAATGTACAGTGTCTGCCAGATGCAATTCTTCGGTTAGTTTTTTTACTTTTCCCAAAGACAGTGAATTACATAAACGGTGGGTGATTAACATTCGACGAGTCAACTTTCTTACAACAAACACACGAGTCTGCAGCCGACACTTTCTAAGTGAAGATGTGATAGAGCCTCCGACTCCAGCTGGGCGCAGACATCTGAAGAAGGGAGCTGTTCCAGTGCTGTTTCAATGGAACAATTTCAGTCTTCCAGCCCCACGGCCCGGAGTTTGGGAAAGGACCGAGCGTCCCAACACAGAAACCATGAATGATCCGTCTGTGGAATTGGACTGTCCTCCTGAGGCAGAGCTGCTGTGCTCAGAGTTCAAATGATTTGATCTTCCACCTGCTCTTGTGGAGTCCAGCACATTGCTGCCATCATATCTGCTTTAGGAGGGAAACCCGAGACCCCATAGGACCCCAGCAGCACACAGATCACATGGCTTTATAGTATAGACTGTAAAGTATAGAGCATAAAGAACATTATATAGAATAGAGCCGTCTGTCAGGCCAGCTGGGCATCCCTCTACTGGTGCTATAATGGTATTATTACCCTGTAGGACAAAGACCTGGTTTGGAGAGTAGGGCTGGAGGCCCTTTGAAAGCTGATGATCTCTATTTCTCTACTCGTTTCCCTCTCCTACCCTCCTCCTTTTCTCTACCCGTCCTAACCCCCAGGCCCCGATATCAGAGGCTCAGAGCACCAGAGCTCCAGCTGTCACTAAGGGAAGAGTGTACTGTCTTTGTCTGGGCTAGAGATCAGGGCCTGCTACCCCTGTCTCTCTGTGTGTGTGTGTGTGTGTGTGTGTGTGTGTGTGTGTGTGTGTGTGTGTGTGTGTGTGTGTGTGTGTGTGTGTGTGTGTGTGTGTGTGTGTGTGTGTGTGTGTGTGTGTGTGTGTGTGTGTGTGTGTGTGTGTGTGCATGCGTGGACATGTTTAACTATACTTGTGGGGACATTTTGTTGGTCCCCACAAGGTCAAATGCTATTTCTAGGGGGTTTAGGGTTAAGGTTAGAATTAGGTTTAGGGTTAGGAGCTAGGGTTGGTTTTAGGATTAGGAGCTAAGGTTAGGTTTAGGGTTAAGGTTAGGTTTTGGGGTTACGGTTAGGGTTAAGGTTAGGGTTGAGGTTAGGGTTAGGTTTAGGGGTTAGGGAAAATAGGATTTTGAATGGAACTGAAATGTGTGTCCCCACAAGGTTAGTTGTACACGAATGTGTGTGTGTGTGTGTGCGCGCGAGCACACAAGTAAGTAAGTGTGAGCTTGTGTTTCTATCAAGACAATGGGTGTTAAATCCCGGCTATGGTGTGAACGGTCTCAGTATTGTTCTCCAGTGAGCCTCTCCTCTACAGCCCTCTGTATGTAAACAGGATAGAGAGAGTCAGAGATAAGGATAAGAACTAACAGCCTTATAACAGCCTCTTCTTAACAGCCTTATAACAGCCTCTTGCTGGATAAGACCACATCCAGACAACAGAATCACAAAGTCTGATAAATAGACCCATACAGCCTCCTCTGTAACATTTGTCTCCTGTCAACTAAATGACCAGCCAATGACACGGAGGGAGGGCAAGAGTAACTGAGAGATACACAAGAAGTTTAATTTTAATTTTTATTTTATTTTTAAATTAAGAAGTGAGGAACTATCTCTCTCTCCCTCTCTCCCTCTCTCTCCCCTTTCTCCATCTCTCCCCCTCCATCCATCCCTCTCTACTAGAGGACTATTAGTGCTCATTAGCGGCACAAAGAGTCCAGACACATCAAAAGAACCATTGTTCCCCAAAACAGTGAATATCTCCCCACCCCCAGAGAGAGAGAGCGAGAGAGAGAGAGATAATCAGTATTGAGGCCAGAGGGGCCAGTGTGACAGTGAAGAGAAGAGATGGAGAGATGAGGCCCTGTCAAGGATGGTGGGGACAAAGAGAAAATAGAGGGAGAGACTGGAGAGAGAGACAGAAGGGGCTGTCAGATGTTTATGTGTGATGCCCACACACAGAATTCCACAGAACACACGCTTGAAACCTAAACTTGAAACCCACACTTAGAACATACAGCTAAACACCCTGGAATTATAATCAAGAGTTCAAGACCACTCTAAAACTGTTTGTGGAGGAAAGACACATGCAGGATCAGACACCCACACACACAGACAGGGGAGTAAGATAAGAGGAGCAGGGGAGAGTTCAAGTGAATCGTCATCATTATTCCTATCACACACACTCTCAATCAGTCAACCCACTGGCTACAGAATGCACAAAGGGGACCGCATATGGCAAGCACAAATACACTACCCACACAGCCTGTCCAGTCTGTTACACTAACCTATCTAATGACAGCCCTGAGGCCTCAGAAACCCCAGGAGTGTATCATTATCATCTAGCCATACAACCAGTAGCCTCAAACACCAGCTGCGACTGTGTATGTGTGTGTGTTTGCCATATGCCGTCCCCTTGTGTATGCTGTCACGTAACCAGTACAACCAGTAGACGGAGACCAGGTGGCTGTTTAAGGTACACACATCAGCCTGGGCCTGATGCCAATTGGATTATAAAAACACTCACACTCTTGGAAGTCTGGGTGCCCTATATGAAGGTTGGTGTAGTCAACATGCAAGGATCTAAGTCTAGTTATGTAAGGCAGTAATGCTGTAGCTAAAGCCTCAGGAGCTAACTCACCTTCTACACAACAGAACACAGGCTCTGAATAGAGAAGAAATCCATACCATAACAAACGCATAGGCCCAACCCTAACCCCATAGCAACTAAACCGTAATACCACTATATCACAATACCAAACCAGAAATGTCCTGTATACTATAGACACCATGTCCACATGCGTGACCCTCTACAGCAAGGGGTATTCAACTCTTACCATATGAGGTCCGGAGCCTGCTGGTTTTCTGTTCTACCTGATAATGAATTGTACACACCTGGTGTCCCAGGTCTAAATCAGTCCCTTATTAGAGGGGAACAATGACAAAACACAGTGGAACTGGCTTCGACGTCCAGAGTTGAGTTTGAGGGCTCTGTAGGTCAGTGTGGCCCTGTATCAATGCACAGAACTGTAAATAATGTAGCCAGGGGTGCAAACATCCACGAACAAGTGTGTTTGTGTGTGTGCTTACAATAAATACCAGGCATAACAATGCAGGCCTCCTGTCCTCTCTCAGACTACAACCTCTGCAGCAGAATACAGCCATGGAAGAGGCAGAGGAGAAATGAGTGGGGGTATTCATAATATATCACATAGATTCTATATAATCTCTAGTCAATCCAATAATGGTTTATGTTCTCTCCTGAAGTAAAGATGTCAGTAAACATACCGGTAGTCCCTGTGAGTTTAAACACAGCTCCTCTTCTCGTATCAGCCTGATGACTCCCACTCTAACTGCTGTCTGTCTGTCTGTAGCGTGTGGCCCAAGTCAGCGTGTGTCCTCTAAAACAGGGCTCTCCAACCTTGTTCCTGGACAGCTAGGGTTGGAGAGCCCTGGTCTAGAGTAGACCCATAAAAGGTTGTAATGCTTCCTGGAACTACCCTCTCTGTAAACACAACTGTGTTTGTTCTACAGGAGAATAAACAGCACCACTCACAACAATTAACCCAAAATCGTTTTGGTGTGTGTGTGTGTTTGTGTGTGTTTACAGTTGTGACGTGAGCCACCTATGGTTAGATTAGTCATCCATCCAACAGGCACCTGGCTAACACTAGCCCTACCAGCCTGCCGGTAAACTACTCACACTAGGCACAGCTACAGCTATACCCCGTTACTACCACAGGCCCAACACATTCCTCCCTCTACAGAGTCCCACTATTACCATCACCACTGATTGAGCGAGGGAGAGGGAGGAGGGGAGGAGGGGACTGGCAAAGTGGGGTTACAGGGAGGTAGAGGGAGGGAGAGGGGGGAGGAGGGGGGAGGAGGGAAAAGGAGTCTGGAACGCGGACGGTATTACGTTTCACAGCAAAGTGAGACACACCTACGTCCGACCGACATTACCTTTCCGTTTCCCACCCTTTCCTGAGTGCCCCTACACATGCACGCAGGCACGCACACACACACACACACACACACACACACACACACACACACACACACACACACACACACACACACACACACACACACACACACACAAACACACAATTACACCAGATGTCACTTCAAGAGAGTTCGGTACTGCTGGCGGATGAGGAATGTAAGAAATTCTGTTAAATATTTATAGAGCCGGTCAGTCAGTCAGAATAAAGTGGCTGAGGAGGGATACTGATGTTATACTGGGGGAGGTAGAGTATAGGGTTAAAGTGATGTATGTGTTTAAATGTGTTAAAGTTGGAAGGTAAAACTGCTGTAATGTAATGCTATAAGTCTTAATGGGAGGTAGAGACAAGGGTTATTGCTAACAGCAGCTATAGGAGGTTAACGCTAGTATAGGCTGATTCCCCTGGACTCTAATGCTATTCAGAGACTGACGTCAGGTCAGACTGCACATACAAACACACATTACCTAAAATCTCATATTCAGCTAATGGTAACATGGTAACAGGCATGATCTCATTCAGTGACATTAGGAAATTAATGGGAGATGTTGCTCTCAGATGAATAAGATTGGTTGCTATACAGACATTTGCTTAGCTACATTTAATTAGCATTTACTTTCACTGTTTGTTGCTTTCTGAGCAGCCATCTGGATTAAAAGTCAGAGTGGAGAGGAGAGAGGGAGGGGAACTGGAATTTATATTCTGAGAAAGACGCCAACCTTGAATAGCTTCCCAGCTCTAGTCCGAACATGAACACACAGACACACAAAGACACACACACAGTCACACAGTGCTCCAGTCCCACAGCGTCTCTCCACCTAGAACATGTCTTCTAACAAACATCTGCAATCTCAACTCTCCCACTCTCAAACAGCCCTGGGATGCTGTGTGTGTGTGCGCGTGTGGCGTGTGTGTATTTTCAATGTGCGTGCATGCTCTTTCCAACTATGCTAATCAGCAGATGCTGTAATTTGTGTCCAACTGCCAGTATGGGATTAAGGACTAGTGCTCAACTGTTTACTCTCCATAGTAAATATGTCTGTCTCAATCTCTCTCTGGGCTGCTGTTCTCTCTGACAGTATAGAAGTTGATTTATTTATTATCTCTGATTTATATAAGAGGAACAGGAGGGTCTATAAACTGTCTGCCTAGACTGTGTTCACCAGAACCCTCCATGTGTTGGGGGAGTGGCAGGTAGTACTCTGTCTTATCCCTGAGGTTCTCCTGCCACTTAAACATCACCATCTGACGCCCTCACACACACACACACACACACACACACACACACACTTGCAGCACACACTCGGGTAAGGACAAAGCCCATTCACAATCACACATTCTTCAAGTCCTCCGCACTCGCATTCCTCCTCCCCCCTTTCATTCCCAATGATAGAACCCCTCTATCTCCTCTTCTCTTTCTCTAGATTCATCTCTCTCCATCCCTCCCTCCCTCACCCCCACGCCACTAAACCAGGCCAGTGAATCAAAAACTAACAGCTTGTCTGAGTTTAGCATCACAAAGAAAGAGAGAGAGAGAGAGAGAGAGAGAGAGAGAGAGAGAGAGTCAGAGTGAGAGTGTGTGTGTGTGTGTGTGTGCATACCAGCCTATGTTTCTAAAGTGGAAGAAGTTGGTTTGTGGAGGAAATGTACTCCACATGGATTCAAAGAATGTCACAGAGTTTATATGAAACAGTGTATCTGTTTCTTAGTTTATATGCTAGAGATGAAATAGTTGAAACAGTGTGTGTGTTTCTAGGGTTTTTCAATAAACAAACCAATAGAAATGTAAACTCCCTGGTTGTAAATTAACTGTTTCTAGACTGAATTCAGCTATGTTTATGAAGCAAATGTGCTACACTGAGTGTTCAAAACATTAGGAACACCTGCTCTTTCCATGACACAGACTGACCAGGTGAATCCAGGTGAAAGGCATCATCCCTTATTGATGTCACTTGTTAAATCCACTTCAATCAGTGTAGATGAAGGGTTGTTAAGCCTTGAGACAATTGGGACATGGATTGTGTATGTGCGCCACTGAGAGGGTGAAAATATTTAAGTGCCTTTGAACAGGGTATGGTAGTAGGTGCCAGACGCACCTGTTTGAGTGGGTCAAGAACTGTAATGCTGCTGGGTTTTTCACGCTCAACAGTTTCCCATGTGTATCAAGAAATTCCACCACCCAAAGGACATTCAGACAACTTGACACAACTGTGGGAAGCATTGGAGTCAACATGGGCCAGCATCCCTGTGGAATGCTTTTGACACCTTGTAGAGTCAATTTCCCGACTAATTGAGGCTGTTCTGAGGGTAAAAGGGGGTGAAACTCAATATTAGGAAGTTGTTCCTAATTTTTTATACACTCAGTGAATATCAGATCAGTTTTTAGAGCTATTATGGTTCTTAGCTTTTCCCTGGTCCCTTGCTACATTTCCTAACATCTCTCTCTCTCTCTCTCTCTCAATCTATCTGGACATTTCCATCTAAAAGGATGTCAAATTGGGTGTCAAATGAAAGCTAAGAGTATTTATTTTTTATTTTTATTAATGCATATATACATTTCTCAACCATTTTCCATCCTAAAACTATGGAATAAGCAAAGGCTTTGAGTTTTGGTCAAACAGATCTTAGAGGGGTCTTAGACAACATCTACCAGAAAAAGTTGTAAAAGGTATTAGAAATACATCAAAACACAATAATGTTGAAGTAAAGACCCCTGCCAACTAATATCAAGACATATTTAGTTTTGGAGAAATGATTTGCCTTCTGTAAGTTTAAGAAACATTGACTTGTGCCTTGTAATTCTGTTACCAAAACCCCACATATTTTAAAGATATTTTCTAATTTCTCTCCCACATGAGGAAGGAGGATAATGAAAGTTCACAGAAGTAACAAGTAAAGGTAGACCTACCAATTGGTTACTGTGTTTTTAATGATATCAAGTTTGTTTATCAATTATTAAGTGATTAAAACTCGTAATTCTGTTACCAAATCGGTGATGGAATTACCCCAAAATCTGTAACGGAATTACTGCAATTGAATTGGCTACAATGGGAAATCACAGTTGGGTCACCTGCTACTGTCTTCCCTTCCACTGGCATACTGTTATGTTCAGCTCATAACTGTTTTCTTTCTCTTTCTGTTGTCTCATGGCCAATAACACTATGAAAACAGTCGGGACAACCCCACCCTCTCACTCTCTGCCACTCTCTCTCTCGCTCTCCCCAGTTAATGTCACCTCTCATACTGACACCTACCCTCTTTCCATTTACTGTAACAAGCATCCTTACCCACTGAGCACCGACCGACACCGGACGTCCATCGATGTTGAAAAGTAGTTGAAACTAGGTCAGTCCGCCCTGGCTGGAACAATTTGAACCAATCATAGACGTCTATGTTTTACAGGTTTGGACAGCACAGTAGAGAACAGTGTACTGTATTTTACTGTACATATCTACTTTACTCTACTTTTTATTTTTTAGGTATTCAGCAGAAACTCTCATCCAGAACGACTTACAGGAGCAATTAGGGTTAAGTGCCTTGCTCAAGGGCATATTGACTTATTTTTCACCTAGTCAGCTCGGGATTTGAATCAGCAACCGTTTGGTTACTGGCCCAACACTCTTAACTGCTAGGCTACCTGACACCCTCTACCTGTGCTCTACTGTGCTGTACAGTCCAAACTTGTGAAACATAGACGTTTATTATTGTTTCAGATTTGGTCTGGTCCAGACCAACCAAAATGTGGTCTTGTTTGGGAGCGGAGATCATTACAATAATAGCCAGTGTAGAATAATACCCAAATATGCAAAAGAAGGATATTGCAAATTTCTACCTTTGTTTACCTATTCAGGATACATCACCATGAAGAGAATAATACATTTCTGTATAGTACAGATTAGGGATCCATGATGTAATTCCGTTACCGTAATTCCGTTACCGGACGTAAATCCACTTCACCTACTGTAATTTAATAACCCTGATATTATTTTCCAAACTCAAGGTGTCATGTCATAGCTGACACCACATTCTTTCTGCAGAATCTTAATTCGGTGCAGATATTTAACAGAGTTTTTGGAAAATGTGGTCACATACAAAACTGGGGGAGATTTTACTGTAATTCTGTTACCAAACTTTGCATCTGCACAGTTCTTCCAGTAAATGTGTTTTTGTGAAATGTTCTGTGTAAATTGTTCAAAGTAATCATTCTGCATAGATTTGTATGGTTTGTTAAACTTTGAAATTAATGTTTTTTCAAAGTGTAATTCTGTTACCGTGGAATTGCCCATCTATCTCTCAGTGCACAGAGCAGGGCTTACAGTTGAGAGGCATTCCCCCTGCCTCACAACACATGTTTAAGCAATTAGAGAGAGAGAGAGAGAGAGAGAGAGAGAGAGAGAGAGAGAGAGAGAGAGAGAGAGAGAGAGAGAGAGAGAGAGAGAGAGAGAGAGAGAGAAAGAAAGAAAGAGAAAATAAGAAAGTTAATCTGCTGTAGAGTGATGGGGGACCGCTGAAGGGGATTTGCTTTAAGGTTCTGGGAGAGAATGTGTAAAGTTCGGCTTCACTCCCTAATCCTGCTCTCAGAGAAAGGGGGTGAGAAAGAGGGAGAATGAGAGAGAAACAGAGAAGGAGATGGCTGGCATTGGTAACACTCAAGGGGGTCTATGGTTCAAACGAGCCATCATCACCTCAGAAACACACAAACACACACACACACACACACACACACACGACATTGCCTTGCCTGACCCGTGTCAATGCTGTCCTGTAATGAATGTCAAATAGCTCTCCAGAGCATCATCACATTCCATGTTCTATTTCTATTCCAATTCCACACCATACCATTCCTATTTTTATACTAGTCCTGTTTCATACCATTCCTGTTCTATAGATGGAAAGGCATCTTAGAAGGTAATATGGGCAATAGGGGAAAGGGAGGACGGCTGGAGGGGCGAGGGCCTGGCGGGCTATTTAATTAAGGGGCAGTAAAATGTGCAAGCTACAGCACTTCAAAACATCTACAACATCTCTCCCCCTGGACACACACACACACACACACAGCCCTTCAGGAGGCTGAAAAGCCCTTGGATCCTCAAAAAGCTATGCAGCTGCACCATCGAGAGCATCTTGACTGGCTGCATCACCGCTTGGTATGGCAAATGCACCGCCCTCAACTGCAAAGCGCTACAGAGGGTGGTGCGGACAGCCCAGTAAATCACTCGGACCGAGCTCCCTGCCATCCTGGACCTCTATATCAGGCTGTTTAAGAGGAAGGCCCTCAAAACGTTACCGGAGCATCCCGGCTCTCAGACCAACAGGCTCAGGAACAGCTTCTACCCCCTGGCCATAAGACTGCTAAATGGTTACACAGACTATCTGCATTGACCCTATCTTGCACTGACTGTGCACACTCACAATACTACACAATATATACACTATTTAATACACTCACTCACACACTACACTGACACTCTCACACAAACCTACACGCATTCACATACACTACATATGCACACACAAAACACACACGCATACCGATGCCACACACACACACACACAAACACACACACACACACACACATGCACACATAGATACACACATGCACACACTCATCATATGCTTCTGCTACTTTCTTCTTTATTTTATTCGTATTATTATCTATCCTGATGCCTAGTAATTTTACCCTGCCTTTATGTACATATCTACCTCACATACCTCATACTCCTGCACAGTGATATGGTACTGGTATTCCCTGTATATATCTTCATTCTTGTGTATTTTATTCCTTGTGTTACTATTAGTATTTAAAAAAAAAAAAAATTTAAACTCTGCATTGGGTAGGGCTCATAAGCAGCTGTAAAGTCTACAACTGTTGTTTCGGTGCATGTGACAAATACAATTTGATTTGAAACACACACATTGGGACCTTACCCACTGTTAATTGGGATAATCTAATATCCAATTATAGACTCTGAAAACTGTAGAGTTTTTAACATTTATAAACGATTTGACTTAATTGCAACTTAATAAATTGAGTTAGGTTAATTTTCAGAGTCAGAGTCTTGTTCGGTCAGACAGTGGTCTTTAGGACGCCATATGCCATGTTGGCTGACCACTTCACATCATGTCAACAACCACAATATGTTCTCTCTCTCAGTGGCACTTAAAACGTAGTCCCGTGGTCCTGGTTTTCACTGTCTGACGTCTATTTCACGGTCTGACTCTGATCACGTTAACGAAGTGTGTTAGGTGGACATGGTGCAGGTTGTTAACATATTACTTTTTTTTTTTAATATAGTAACCTGTCCCTTTGGACATATTGGATGGAGTTCTGTCCACTCTCTCGCTCTCTCTCTGCTCAGGGTCGGGTATCCACTCCCGCTGCCTCTCTCTCTCTGTTATAACACGCTGACAGTTGTTCTGTTTTCACTGATAACACACTAACGCACCATTATGGTGAGCGCAGTTTTATACATTTTGGTCACACCCTTTAAAGTGTTAAATATGTTATGTAATTGTCCAATTTGTTATAGGTCACACTTTTCCCTGATGGCATTATTGTCTGACAGTATTGTCATGTTATTGTCACGTTATAGACCATTCAGTGCTGTCAAGTAATTTCATTTGTTTACAGTTGGGACTAATATGTCTTTGAAACTCACCTAGTAGCAGGCAGAATAGGTCCAGTCCTATCAACAGTTTCCTCTTGGTGTTATCGATGCCGTTGTTGTTGTTTAATGAAGTCCCTCCGTTTCTGGTCTGTTGTGCCATGGCTTTTTCATACAAAATACTGTTACATGTAAGAACTCCGTCTCCAGTTAAAATCCCACCAGCGTGCCAAACAAACTAAATCACGTTATTTAGTCGGTCAAGGTTTCCAGCCGAGAAGAAGCGAATGTCACTGAGTAGCCAACTATGGGAAACTAACTTCCCAACTAAGAAGAGGTTCTGCAAACGTATCCGTGCTGCAACGATGCGATGCCTCGTCCTAAACAAACTTTAGAAACTTTTGACTTTTCCACTGAAGTCGCCTCTTCAGATCCGGGATAAAAACCTTTCGTCTGTCCGGTCCACGCTTTAGGGACGGTAAACTTGTGTAACGGCACTATGATGAATGAAGCCTGCTTCTCCCGCTCCTCTCTCTCAGTCTGCTTCAAAGCCTGGCAGAAAATAGCGCTCTGAGCGCAGAGAGAGAGACCGTCGTTTTATCAATCCTTCCTCTCCTCCTCCCCCTCCTCTCAGCCCTCTTCTCTCCTCTCTGCTACAGCCCAGTAATAAGCTCCAGACCTCCTGCTAGAAAACTTTCTCTTGACCTGGATAAAGAGCAGTCCGACACTGCTCCCAGCGGCGGTTACCGAGAGGCCAACACAGAACACATAATGAAGGGGCGTCGGTGGACCCGCTGTCACTACTATTTTAGCATTTTATTTCTTGGTGTGACAAACTCAACCAATTTTTTTTAGATGCATGCCAGCAAAGCCACTACACAATATTGTATTATTTTATTAGGCCTATGTGGTCTAAAAAGGAACGAAAATACAATCATGAGGATCCAATTTTATAGACAATATATCAACGCACAGACCGCACATTGCGCAACCAAAACAACCCTTGAAATATCAACTGGAATTACATGGGGTCTATTGTTTAAGTTTTTGTTTTAAAAAATATATTTGAATGGGAAGAGACTGTCACTGGCAAACATGGTTACAGACCCAACAACATTATATAGTATCCCCTCCTGGTGAAGGAATGCACATGAGCTAATTATAATACACAAAGTAAGCAAAACAATTAAATCATTCCAATATTGCCTACAATAATGACTAAGATACTAATGAAATATACCTATATAAGCAATATAACACTTGGAATGTACAAACTATGGCATAAGAGAACCATAAGCGGATAAGAGGCAAGTCATAATTTCGATTAAGACATTAATGAGCGAGAAGCCGATATCACTATTTGCAGTGGTGGAAAAAGTACCCAATTGTCATACTTGGGTAAAAGTATAGATACCTTAATGGAAGGTTACTCAAGTAAAAGTTAAAGTCAGGCAGTAAAATACTACTTGTGTCACGACTTCCGCCGAAGCTGCCTCCTCTCCTTGTTCGAGGATTCGGCGATAATCGTCACCGGCCTTCTAGCCACTGCCGCTCCTCATCTCATCTCATCATTCCATTTGTTTTGTCTTGTTTATTACACACACCTGGTTCATATCCCCTCATCAGTACCTGTATAAGTGTTCCCTCTGCCCCCTTGTCTTATTCGCCGGGATATTCACCCGTGTGCCTTGTTGTTTCCAGTGAGCCATATATTTTCGCACTGGAGTGTTTGACGCATTGCTATTCTGTGATTTACCCTCCTGTGCCTGACTCCTTCAAATCACATCACCACAACTTGAGTAAAAGTCTAAAAGTATTTGGTTTTAAATATACTTAAGTATCAAAGGTAAATGTAATTGCTAAAACATACTTAAGTATCAAAAGTACAAGTATAAATCATTTAAAATTCCTTATATTAAGCAAAGCAGACAACACCATTTTGGAGGGGATAGCCAGGGGCACACTCCACACATTATTTACTTAAGAAGCATTTGTTTTTAGTGAGTCTGCTAGGCCAGAGGCAGTAGGGATGACCACATGTTCTCTTGCTAAGTGCATGAATTTGAAAAATTTCCTGTCCTGCTAAGCATTCACACTGATCACCACACTGATCCTCAACACGGGGGCCCCACAGGGATGCGTGCTCAGCCCCCTCCTGTACTCCATGTTCACCCATGACTGCGTGGCCACGCACGTCTCCAACTCAATCATCAACTTTGCAGACAACACAACAGTGGTAGGCCTGATTACCAACAACGATGAGACAGCCTACATGGAGGAGGTGAGAGCCCTGGCGGAGTGGTGCCAGAAAAGTAACCTCTTCCTCAATGTCAACAAAATGAAGGAGCTGATCGTGGACTACAGTAGACAGCAGAGAGATCACGCCCCCATTCACATCGACGGGGCCGCAGTGGAGAGGGTCAAAAGCTTCAAGTTCCTCTGCATGCACATCACTGATGACCTGAAATGGTGCATTCACACAGACAGTGTGGTGAAGAAATGTGTCTCTGTCCCTAAGACCCTTTACAGATGTACCATTGAGAGCATCCTGTCGGGCTGTATCAACGCCTGGTATGGCAATTGCACCGACCGCAACCGCAGGGCTCTCCAGAGGGTGGTGAGGTCAAGCCCAACGGGGGCACACTGCCTGCCCTCCAAGACATCCACAGCACCCGGTGTCACAGGAAGGCCAAAAATATCATCAAGGACCTCAGCCACCCGAGCCACGGCCTGTTCACCCTGCTACCATCTAGAAGGAGGAGACAGTACAGGTGCATCAAAGCTGGGACCGAGAGACTGATAAACAGCTTCTATCTCCAGGCCGTCAGAGTATTAAATAGTCACCACTAGCTGGCCTCCACCCAGTACCCTGCCCTGAACCTTAGTCGCTGTTACTAGTCGGCTACCACACAGGTCCTCTACCCTGCACCTTAGAGACTGCTGCTCTATGTACATAGATTCATTAAACACTGGTCATTTTAATAATCTTTACATACTGTTTTACCCACTTAATATGTACAGTGCATTCGGAAAGTATTCAGACCCCTTCACTTTTTCCACATTTTGTTACGTTACAACCTTATTCTAAAATGGATTAAATACATTTTTTCCCTCATCAATCTACACACAATACCCCATAATGACAAAGCGAAAACAGTTTTTTAGACATTTTTGCAAATTTATATAAAACAGAAAAACAGAAATACCTTATCTACATAAGTATGCAGACTCTTGCTATGAGTCTCAAAATTGAGCTAAGGTGCATCCTGTTTCCATTGATCATCCTTGAGATGTTTCTACAACTTGATTGGAGTCGATCTGTGGTAAATTCAATTGATTGGACATGATTTGGAAAGGCACACACCTGTCTATATAAGGTCCCACAGTTGACAGTGCATGTCAGAGCAAAAACCAAGCCATGAGGTCGAAGGAATTGTCCGTAGAGCTACGAGACAGGATTGTGTTGAGGCAAGGATCTGCAGAAGGGTAAAGAAACATTTCTGCAGCATTGAAGGTCCCCAAGAACACAGTGGCCTCCATCATTCTTAAATGGAAGAAGTTTGGAACCACCAAGACTCTTCTTAGAGCTGGCCGCCCAGCCAAACTGAGCAATCGGGGGAGAAGGGCCTTGGTCAGGGAGGTGACCAAGAACCTGAAGGTCACTCTGACAGAATTCCAGAGTTCCTCTGTGGAGATGGGAGAACCTTCCAGAAGGACAACCATCTCTGCAGCACTCCACCAATCAGGCCTTTATGGTAGAGTGGCCAGACAGAAGCCACTCCTCAGTAAAAGGCACATGACAGCCCACTTGGAGTTTGCCAAAGGGCAGCTAAAGGATTCTCAGACCTGGAGAAACAAGATTCTCTGGTCTGATGAAACCAAGATTGAACGGTGAAGCATGGTGATGGCAGCATCATGCTCTTGGGATGTTTTTCAGCGGCAGGGGCTTAGAGACTAGCCAGGATTGAGGGAAAGATGAACGGAACAAAGCACAGAGAGATCCTTGATGAAAACCTGCTCCAGAGCGCTCAGGACTTCAGACTGGGGCGAAGGTTCACCTTCCAACAGGACAACGACCCTAAGCACACAGCCAAGACAACGCAGGAGTGGGTTCGGGACAAGTCTCTGAATGTCCTTGAGTAGCCCAGCCAGAGCCCGGACTTGAACCCGATCGAACATCTCTGGAGAGACCTGAAAATGGCTGTGCAGCGACGTTCCCCATCCAACCTGACAGAGCTTGAGAGGATCTGCAGAGAAGAATGGGAAAAACTCCCCAAATACAGGTGTGCCAAGCTTGTAGAGTCATACCCAAGAAGACTCGAGGCTGTAATCGCTGCCAAAGGTGCTTCAACAAAGTACTGAATAAAGGGTCTGAAAACCTGGTTCAGTTTGCTTTCCAACAGACACTTGGAACAAATTCACCTTTCAGCAGGACAATAACCTAAAACACAAGCTCAAATATACACTGGAGTTGTTACCAAGACGACATTGAATGTTCCTGAGTGGCCTAGTTAAAGTTTTGACTTAAATCGGCTTGAAAATCTATGGCAAGACTTGAAAATGTCTGTCTAGCATTTGTCAACAACCAACTTGACAGAGCTTGACATTTTTTTACAAGAATAATGTGCAAATATTGTACAATCCAGGTGTACAAAGCTCTTAGAGACTTACCCAGAAAGAGTCTCAGCTGTAATCGCTGCTAAAGGTGATTCTAACATGTATTGAGTCAGGTAGGGCTGGGCAGTATACCTTATTTTACGATATACCGGTATTGATGCACTGACCGTTTTGGGTTTTTACTTTACCTTCTATAATGGTATTTGAATTTTTGGTTTGTTAAATGTGATACGTTGTGTGTATCGTCCATTTTTATAGTTTACTCCGCAACTTGAGCCATCTCTCTCTCCCTCTCCATGCCGCTTTCCACACAGACCTAGCCCTGCCCCCTGTCACTCAATGAGCGCATTTGTGGTTCCTCGACCACCAGACACTTGTGTTCAGTCTGCATGGTCAATGCATCACATGCAGCAATGTTGATGACAACGATGCTGTTTTCACTTTGCTTCTTAATATAAATGTAAATTAGATATTTCTGTATTTCATTTTCAATACATTTGCAAAACTGTCTAAAAACATGTTTTCACGTTGTCATTATATGGGTAT